AGAAGAGTTAAAAGAACACGAAGAAAGGGTAAGCACGAGTATATTGTCCCCTGACGTCACGTACAAATGAGGAGAAACTTCGGCTAGAGGGCCTTCAATTTATCATTCATATTTGGTCGATGTGTGATAACAGTGTCTACTCGAGCATTTTACTTCTTGCAAATTGGCCCTCTTAATCCCCACTGAATCAACGAACGGTTTTCATTCGCAGTACCACGTTTCCACCAATAGCATAACATCCAGTATATAAACCACACAGAATCCACAGTTCCCTGATTCGCTCTGTTGAAGAGCGAGCGCTCGAATAGCCTGAGAAAACAGCTGACATTTCGCGAACCACCACTCTTTTCATCGCGAAATGACATCGAGCGCAGCAAAAAGCCTAGAAATTCCATACTGATGACGTATCACTACTCAGATATGGGTGGTGCCTCTGATTGGTCAAAGCAAACTTTACTCGCAGCGCGACCAATCAGAAGCACTGACCACATCTGGGTAGTGACACGTTATCAGTGTGAAAGTCATTTCGTGGCGAATCAAGTGGTGGCGTCCGGAAGTGTCGGCTGTGCGCTGTTTTCTCATGGTAGCACTCGAAACGCCAGCTTCTCAATCCCCCGGCGGTGGGTACAAATGAGTATTTTGTGAGGTCTCTAATCCCCAGAGGTACTCCCTATAATGGGTTATACGGAAGGCTCCGCCCGAAAGGAGTATCTTTTTCAGTCTTCAGGTTCATGTAAGGGTAGGGATTTCACTAGTTGGAGTATATAATAGGGTAGGGAAATCTGTCATTTTGGTCTGTAAAAGGGCCCATTAGGGCTAACAGATGAATTTTATGGCTTTAAAAAGTCGAGAAAACGTTCTATTTCTGTGACTGATTCCTACTTAAAAGACAATGCATTTGCAGCAGTTAAAAGCGATGCAAAGTTGTAGACAAGGTATGTGGAAGCGGTACCATTTGTCTATAGAAGGTATACGAAATGGGTACCATGTTTTGTCAAAAATGGTATATAAAAGGGTAAGGGGTTGAACATCGGGGCGGTGCCTCCCTGTATGCGAAATATTTGTTGATTACTCCCCCAGTCACGTTAATGTCCATAGATTCCTCACACCAAAATAAGCGGGGCAGAGGGACCGAGACTGCTTGTCGATGTTAACAAAAGGCGTCTTCGTTAAAGGGAATAAAAAGTTCTGACTCTCCAAAGAACTTCACAATGAACTTGCGCGAAGTAGCTCTGTCTTTAATTGGGAAAAGGTGTCTAAAACTTATAAGCTTTCTTCTTATACTGTAACTGCAGTCGTACTTTTGAAAAAAAATATTGGATAGTTTCGTGCGCAGTTTGGTAAGACCATTTATGGGCTAATAGTAATAACTTTGGATCGTACAGATTATTTATCGAGAACTAATTCGTATGATCTAGCACCTTGTAGCTGGGAGTGTACCAATCTTTCGAAGGTACAGATCTTTGCAGCACGTACATGAATCTTATCTAGCTCCTTAAAGAAGCTTTTTCTTTTGAAAACCCAACAGGACTCAAGCGTAGATAGCAGGAGGCAAAACGGTTTTAAAATAAAAATCAGCTCTGACTGTGTTAGGTAAAAAGTATCATTTTCTCGTGAATGACTTTATCAGCTAGGTAACATGAATATTCAGTTAAGTTTACAGTCCAATTCGAAACCGTGACATCTAGTCGAATAGACTTGACTAATAACATTATCACGTATTTCAATAGACCTTGTCACGGTTTTGGAAGCCATCTTGACTTCATTAATAGGTTGTTTCAGTTCAACAGATTTTGCAAAAAAAAGGTTCACTGCGACGTCTCAAAAATAAAGGAGGCATATTGCCAGTATACACCAAAAACATTTTACAGAACCGTAGTGTCTCTCGCATTTCCCTTACGAGTAGACTATTCATGAAAGAGAGTAAGAGCTTATATGACTGATTTAGGACTTTCTGACTGGAGGTTAACAGGCTGCCTTACTTCAATTGATTTTGCACTTGCAGTCTCACGACGACCTCGCTGGTACAAACGAATAATTCGAAGGAGGCGACGAAGACGAAGAAGACGAAGGCGTAGACGCAGAGTACGTAGACGACGAAGAAGGAATCGAAGACGAAGACGACGACGTAGGAGGCGAAGGCGAAGACGAGTCTTCCGAAAAAGACGTCGAGGAGGTAATGACGATTGCATATACATTGTTATGGGGAGTGATCACGAGTCACTTGTTGTCATTTCCTGTAACCGAACTTGTAAGCGAACACCCCTGGGACCAGAAAGTGCCTTTTTAAAACAAGTGTTGGCTCAAGAGTTTGTATATGCATTTCCGCGTACCTCAGATAGCCGTCTACTGGAGGTAGCCGTTTTGCGTACAGAAACAGTTAGGGACATTAGTGAGTTTTCGCAACAGGACGGCTGAAAGGTCGTTACTTCATGTCATTCTATATCAAATTACAGGGAAAGGAAGTCCTTGAAATAATTATTTTAGTCCTTGAGTAGTCGTTGAAAAGTCCTTGAGTCCCTCCACCCCCCCCCCCCCCCACAAAAAAAACAATAAATAAAACTAAAATATTATTTAAACATAAAAAAAAAAAACATATAAAAACAAAAAAAATAAATTTTTTATTATAACCACATTCATATAATATATTTGTCTTTTTTTTAAAGGATGGGCAAAATGTTGTCATTTATAGTTCTTTTTATAACAAATCAAGGGAAGGGACTCCCTTAAAAAAAAATTTTACGCCCTAGGGAGATCGTTAAAAAGCTCTACACTCCCCCCCCCCCCCCCCAAAAAAAAAAAAAAAATATATATATATATATATATTCTGTATGAACCATGAAAGCACAAAACCTTTAGGAAGCAAAAAAATGTTATGTTTATACAACAAGCTTCTTGTAAATTTCTTTGACGTCATTGTATATCTACGACGTGAAGTGACTAAATTTTAGGTTTTCTTGAGTACGGGAAGGCCAAGCCGATAGACTTTACCATCTCTGTCTTAATTCCAAAGTGGTCCCATCTCTTTAGTAACTGACTTGCAATAATTGCGAAAACGTTTGAAATGATGCAAAGTCTATTTTTCTGCGACCTTTTCATTGGCTTCGCCGTTTTCGGATCGAAGGTCCCTACCCCCACTAATAATTCGACAAGCTCACTCACATCAAGTATTGTTTCAATTCCAGATAAATTTAATGTGCGTTTCTGGCCATAAGGCTGATCGTCTGTAGCCTATCTTATTAGGTTTGTAGCTTGTTGTTGAAACAAACTATATATTTTGTCATTTCGAGCTTTTTTTTGCTTTCTTTTTAGTCTGGAGGCGACGTAAGATCTACTTCAAGCGACGTCTACGCATTTTGAGAAAATGGAGGCGTCGATGGAACATAAAAGTTAAGGGAATCAAGTACAGAATCCGCCGAAGTGGCAGAAGGACACAACTGAAAGCATTTGGAAGATGGCGATGGGTTAAATTAATGCGTGGAATCTGGTACATAAATATTGTGACATGGCAGCGAATCTACATGAGACGAGGTTGGTGGACAATACGAAGAAACAACAGATACGTCCGCCTTCCAAGAAACTCGCGCACATTCAGAATCCGTTTGCTAAGGAAATGGAGGCCTGTTAAGTGTACTGGAAGACGTTATTACATGCAGTTCAAACGACGATGGCGCCTAATAAGGAGACGTGTGCGGTATAGCATTACTTACCGCGGCAAAAAATTGAGGGTGAAAAGAATACGAGGACGTTATCGAGTGCGGTATCGCGGGCGGTACGGAAGAGCGAGAAAAGGTAAGGCGTGGTCAAATCGCGCGGTCAGTAGCGGTAGTAAATTGACAACTTTTGGTATAGAATAAATAAAACAAAATAACGATTTAGAGGTAAAACATCACAGAGCGTTTCTTCGTCTACCATTCTTGGTCGAATTGGTATTTGGAAGTGGTGTTTTCTGATGAGAAGGCAAGCCTGGAGTACCCGAAAAAAGCCTCTCGGAGCAAAAGAAAGAACCAACAACAAACTCAACTCACGGGCTCAATCCACAGGTGGCTTCAGCGCCGGGATTTGAACCCGGGCCACATTGGTGGGAGGCGATTGTTCCCACCGCTACGACACCCGACCTTGCTCTCCTAAATGGCGTGTTTTTAGGAAGAGGGACAGTTATTTCATTTTTGGGGCACTCCATTGATAAGCACTATAAAAATGTTTATATGCTTCAGATATTGGAGGATTCATTATTTACAGTCGTTGACTATACCTGTATACCCATCAGTCTCTGATTAGCAGCAAAAGTAAATGATCCTTTTATCAGTAACTTGTTAGTCCTCAACAGTCTTCAATTTCGCTTTGATTAACCCGTTTACTCTACCATGCGAGCAGAGGTTTCTTTCCGGCGTGGCTTTTAGCTTTTACAAAGTCGTTCGCATCGCTGTTAGTCGAATAGTTGGTTTGTTTACGTGAACACTAACCGTCTACGCGACTGACAATTCACGCCAACGACTTTACGAATGCTAAAAGCAATACCAGAGCGAAACTTCTGCTCGCAGGGTATTCTACTCTCAAAAGTGGCCGATGTCAAAAAATTAAATAGTTTTTGAAAAAATCCTGAAAAACAAATGGTACCATGTGGAAGTAATGCCAAAGAGATTTTATTTGAATGGTCCTGTGCACCAGCGAATTTTATCCACACAATCAAAAGTTAAAACCACCTTTTGAGACTCCATAATTCACTTTGGGAGTGAAAGGTGTAAAGAAAAGACAGCTACTTGCTGAATTTGTTTTACGACTTTTGAGCATTACCTTGAATTTTATCTGTTCTTTGCGTGTCATGTTATTCCGATTAAAAACACGGATGAGTACCAGATTCTGGGATACTCTCCTCCCCTGAACCAACTTTAACACTGACTTCTCATTTGTAGCAGTGTTTAGTTAGGGGAGGAATTACAAAGTGGAAAAACTGCACCTTATCGTTGTCGTTTCGATTTATTGAATTTTTTGTTCAAATGACAGCTAGGAGAAGGAGAAGAAGAAGGCGACGATTGGGCAGGAAAGGCAGACGCCGAAGAAGACGTTATAGGTTGAGGAGAGGAAGGAGGAGAAGACTTCGAAGAAGGTACGGTTTGAGAGGAAGAAGAAGGCGAAGAAGGTTTGGGTTACGAAGAAGACGGCGAAGAAAGTATAGATTAAGAAGAAAAGGACGACGCCGCCGACGACGAAGAGGACGGTGGAGATTAAGAAGACGCCGCGGTAAAAGACGAAGACCACGGGGGAGAAGACGATATCGTGGACGACGAAGGAGAAGACGAAGAAAAAGAAGATACGGGTTAAGGAGACGAAGAAGTACGTAGTGTACCTTATTCATGACGTAGTATTGATCGCAACAATTTCTTCCGTTATTAGATCAATCTTTTTACTTCACAACTAAGCACCACGAATACAAGCTTTTATCTCACCTTTTAGCCCATTCGCAGACCGGCTCTATTTTCTCTTTAACGATCGTCGGGCGCGCGTAGGAAAATAAAAATCGCCGGAGATTTATTGACCCCTAGCGCAAGGGGGTGCCCTCATTCTCGCGCTCCACGCTTTCTTCGCTCTCGTGCCCCTCGATTTTCGAAAAGAAAAAGAAAACAACGTCTGTGTACAGGCTACTCGCCTTTGTTCCTTCCGCATATGCTAGCGCGTCCTTTTATAATCAAGAATATTTTTTGCCACAGTTAAATGAGAATCGAAGGTCTTCAAAAATAAATCCATATCAAGTCCTTTTTAGGGACTGATACGTTGAGTGTCTAGTTTATAATTCTGGATCTTTAAGAAGGACAACAAATAACCTTCACCATAAAGGCATTCCTCTTTCTCTTTAATGATTATGATTTTTTCCCAAAACTGTAGCTCGACGTGTAAGGCGAAGGCGAAGAAGATATGGCCGTCGAAGAAAGCGTAAGTGGTTTATTGATTTCTTGTTACTGAACCGTGCAGTTCACACTTATCACGACAATTTACAATTTTCTTCTTTTTCATTTGTTTTTAAATGGCTTATATGTTTACATGGGACATGTTTGAAATCTTGAAAGGTCATTAACCTGACAGATCACAAGGAATTTGTATTTAACCACACCTTTATATACTATGTTTTATCCTGCTTTTATACGTTCGCTACTCCTTATATATAGAGATTCTTACTTATCGTACTCGCAAACAGGTCGCCGTAGAGTGTACTTCCGAGGGCGTTACAGGCGCTTGAAACGTGGAGGTAGAAAATGGTCCGTGAAAATTGGTACAAAACGGTACAGACTACGAAGAACCGGACGACGTGTAAAAATCTACTTCCAGAAAAGATGGCGACGATGTAAGAAACAACGCGGAAAATGGTACATTTTAATGGGCAGGAGGTGGAAACCTATTGTGAGGCGCCGAGGTCGCTGGTATCTAAATTATCGCCGAAGGCTGATGCGGCTTCAGCGGAAAGCTAAAATGCTTATGATACTGTTCAGACGTACGTGGGCGCGCATGATGATGATGAGAAGACGGCTGTACATGATGCTCGGACGCAAATGGAAGCCTGTTGTTCGTCGACGTACATATCATATAAGATACCATGGTCGACGTCTGCGTGTGAAGAGAAGAGGTAGAGCAGCTTCAGTTAGGTATCATGGAAGGTGGTGTAGGAGGAGGAGAATAGTCACCAGGAGACCACGGCGAACCTGTAAGTATGACTGATATTTTAATCAGGAGTTTGTAACTACGATTGGATAGTAGGCAGATCTAGCAAAGACAGCGCAGCGTCAAGCGAAAACACGATCCGGTGCTTATTTTGTTGTTCTGCCTTTAGTCAGAGAAATTGGCCAATAGCTGAACTGCGTGTGTAAGGAACTATCCCAGAAGCAATTACGGTTCGAATTTCTGCTCCAGTCCTCTTCTCGTTTCTAAAGTGACGAATTGAAGTCTAAGGTTATCGATACTGCACCTCATTCCCAGCCCTTTCAGATAAAGGACATTTTGCCTCACAATTTTTACTCGCGACTATTTTTTGACATCACTGGTGACTTATGCGCAACAATCTAACAACGCAAAGTTATTACTCCAAAGAGCCCTTGATCAATTTTAGAATATTTTGTATTTTTAAACAAAGTTTTCCACTCACTTTTTACTCTAGCGAGAAGAAGCAGGAGGAGACGTCGAAAGAGAAGACGAAGACGAGCCAGGCGACGCCGCAGAAGAAGGCGAAGGCGGCGAAGGAGGAGACGTAGATGTATGTATCTCGACTCATTTGCTTGTGCCATGAGGGCTTAAGCCATTCACCTGATAATTTGCACAACTGCTATATCGGTGTTCCAAAACGAAACAATAGAGTTCTTTAGATTCTAGACGACAAGGAGGACGAGATTTTCTCAATACTAAGTAGTGCGCGCGCGTGAACCAGCGTCATTTTGGCGGGAGGCCGTAGGTTCAAACCCCGGCCAGACCAACACTCAGGGTCTTTAAATAACTGAGGACAAAGTGCTGCCTTTGTAATAACATCTACAAACGGTTTGACTTTCTAGTCGTCTCGGATAAGGACGATAAACCGTAGGCCCTGTCTCACAAGCCCTTGCACATGTAATAAAAAATCTGTAGGACGTTAAAGCGCCCACACACTCTTCGTAAAGAGTAGGGCACGTAGTGCCCGGTGTAGTGGTTTATCTCACTTTCACACTCATGTATGGGGGCATCATTACTCATTTCTTCATTACTTGTAAACTGCAACTTAAGCAGTCTGGCAAAGTCCCCCAACCAGTGTTGTAAATTATCCCTGAAAGGCCCTGAGGGGAGTGGATAATATGATATTTACATTTACATTTACACAACATGAGGCCACGTGAGTGAAAACGCTGTATTATTCTATGATTTTGTGAGCATTTACTCCATCTGCGTTCCGAGTCTTCTCTTCCAATCCAAACTTATTGCAATTTCTGATATTTTCCGGCCGGTCGGTACAATGTCGATATTGTAGTCAACTTCACACATGGCATAAACCCTTTAGAAAGAAGAATAATATTAAGTTGTTTATTTCAGGGCGTAAGATGCGACGACGAAGAAGGCGAGGGCTTAGCCGACGTAAGTGGACATCGTAGTCAACGTATACCGTAAACTGCTTTTTAAAGGTAGCAGCCAGTCAGGGAATACCTCTGAACACACTCATCCGCATTCATATCGTGCGCAAACAGAGCTTTCCACGGTTTTTTCAACTTTTGACATGGACAACTTACGAAAAATCCATCGACTTCAATGAAAAGAGCGCCCTTAAATTAGTAAAACTGCCAAGTTTGAAAGTGATTTGTTGAAAACTAACGAGGATATGACTCCTCAAAGTTGCGAAATTTTACAGACGTTTTACTGAACCCCCCCCCCCCCCCCCCCCCCCCCCCCAAAAACCCATAAAATTTTTAAAAATAAACCGGCCCCCCCTTTCCTCCCTTCTAAGGGTTACCATTTATATATGGTCAAGTAATTTATTTTCACGTTCGCTTTCCCTTGGGTTTTCCGGGTTTTCTCTTCTTGCATTTTTATTTGTTTACACCAGAAGTCGGCATGAGCTATTGCTATGTTACGTGAGTTCCAGACTGTGACCTTTCCATCGCGACCAAGTTTAGAAATAATTTTTTGAAAAATAACGAGGAATTTACCTCACAAAATTGCGAAATTTTTCGTACGTTTTTCTGGACCCCCCCCCCCCCCCCCCCACACACACACAAACGTCTATAAATTTTGAAAACTTAACGGAGCTACGTCTTCGCTCGCTTCAGAGGTATCACTTTGAAACTTGGCAAGTTAATTCATTTCAAGGTGCACTTTCCAGTGGTTTCGACGGATTTTCCCTAACTTGGCCATAACAAAAGTTTCAAAAGCCATGGAAAGGTCTATTAGACAATTTGATGAAGGCATTGCTGCTTAGATGCCATTGCATTTGGATATGTTTTCTTTGGCCTTATCAAAAGGAGTAATCGTGTAAAATTAATACATGAATACCTTGCGAGTGTCGTTATAATGAGCTAATCGCTTGAGACTGAAGTTTTGTTTATTCTCCGTTTAAAGTTTTCATTGTCAAAAAGGATTTTGTGCTCTTTCACCACAAAAAAATTAATACATCAGATTAAGATCGATGAGTTCTAGAGAGATACCCATGTTTTCATTCTGTTGTTACGCACTAATAGATCATTTTAGCCTTAAAACATTTTTTTGGCTTTTACAGGCCGACGATATGTGAGGTATGGAGGAAGAAGACGTCGCGTTACAGTGAGAAGAAAGTACTTCTTCGGACGACGAAAGAAACGCATTCGTAGATTTAGGAGAAAGTTGAGGATTTACCTCAAGCGCAAATACAGGCGAATCAGGCGCACGAGGAAACGCTGGAGAGTGCGTATCCGCAGAAGATGGTGCGGGCTTAGAAGATTTGGCCGCAAATGGTATCTTAGAAGGAGACGAAAATGGAAGCGTATCCGACGTGTCAGGCTGGCATTACGATACGGAAAGAGATACGCACGGGTCAAGAGGCGAGGTAGGACATGGCTCTTACGGCGACGCAAGAAATGGATTCGTGTGAGACGCCGCGTTCGTTGCAGCATACGGGTCCGTGGTAGACGGGTGAGAGTGAAGCTGGCTGGTAAGCGAGGCGTGAGGATCTTTAGGAAGGGCCGCTATGGTAAACTAAGGAAGATCCGTTTTAAGAGTAAGTTGATAAGAATATTATCTATTGCATTATGTAGTAGTAGTAAAAGGTTTGAACCCAGGAGTCATTTCATAAGTACGTGGAGTATGATCGTCCGGGTGATCGTAGTCCTGAATAGGACTGTTATTGACAGTGACTGACGTTTTGACAACCTGTGGAGAAGTCATCTTCAGAGTCAAAATAAATTAAATACTATCAACGAACGTGATACCATTTAATTTGACGCTGAAGATAACTACCGCACACTTGTGCAAAGCATTATCCTGAAATATTATGTAAGTAAGTAGTATTTAACTTAGCAAGTTATATGTAAGTAGGTATTAAAGCTTTATGTAACTAAGTAAGCACTATGTAAGTAAGTCAGCATTATGTTTGTAAAAACAATAAAAATTAAAAAAAATAAAAAAAAAAAAAAATAAAAAAAAAAAAAAAAAAAGAAAAGAAAACTTCAGTCACTGTCATCAACACAACACTCACCTGAACGATCCTATTTTACCTATTTATACTACTGCATGAGAAATTTCTGCAATTTGATTGGCTTAGAGCAGTGCTATTTCAGCTTAATTTGAAATACGTAGTAGTATGAAAAAAATAATAGCATGATTTGTGCGTGATATTTGGCATAAATACCACTTGTGATATTTCAAAATTGTCCCAAATTTCACTCGCCAAACGGCTCGTGAAATTACGTATAACAATTTTGAAATATCACTGCAAATCGTGCTATTACCTGTACTAATATTATGTGGTCAGTGTTCAAGGCTTCGGTAACTTAAAAGGAGACACACACAACCCGATGTTAATAACCATGAAATAAAAACCCCGGTGGTATGAATAAGGTTTCATCCCAGTGAGGGTTGATGGATTGAATCTACTCTGATCAATTTTTCCCAAGAAACATGTTTTACCAGTCCCATGGTCCTTCTTTATGTGCTGGAGTTTTTCTCTTTGTGGTTATTGATATCGGCATTTACAGCACTGTGGTTCTAAAATTTTGCGTTTGTTCCCCTGGATATTGTTGCTTCCATGTTAATAGCTGATAACAGAACTGTTCTTACTTTGTTCTTATTACTTGTTAGTTCGCAAAATCTAATTATCTTAACGTATGCGTTAAAATGCTTTGTTAACTTGTCAAAAGAAATCGATTATGTCACTTCCGCATAATTAGATCACAGCGAATATATAATTTAATCATCCTAAGAACCTCTACAACGGATTTTCATTACACGGCTTACTTCTTACGGTCGAATTCTTTATCTTCTCACTTAGGAGATAGCATTTCTGAATCTCAATTCCAGTTTGATTGGAGAAACATCTCTTTATTCTTTTCTCTCCGTTTAGGAAGAAGAAGAGGTTGGCGCTTGAGGAAAAGAAGACGACGTCGAAGGCGGCGAAGACGCCGTAGGCGACGAAGAAGTCGCCGACGTCGTCGAAGAAGGCGTCGGCAAAAAAAGCGAAGTACGTAAGGTGTCCTTGCTTGGCGGATAGTTGATGAACTTTTTAGAACGAATTGTGCGCATTTCAAAGGCAATGAAAAGCAGACAGGTGTCTTATTCAAAATACTCTTTTTTCGATTCATTAGCCCCTGGTGAGGAATACTCTTGATAAAAGGTGTCGCACGATGCCAGGCTTTACTTTTTAGACTGGTTTTTGAAGCTTTCCATGAATGGGACAGAGGCTTTTTCAAGCAATTATTTTTCAATGATTTTGTCCACCAAAACTATTAAGTTACCTTTATTTTTGTCGTTGGATTTTCTTGACTGTACCATCGTCAAGCCGGCTTTTTGCATTGTCGTAAGCCGTGAATACTAAACGCTTTTGCTTGTGTTCCATCAGGCACACTTTGCTTGATGCGCAGTGTTGTACGCAGAAACAAAAGATGTGCATCCCCCTCAAAAGAACCTGATACGGTTAAGTGAAGTGGGGCACTTAGACTGGTCATAATACAAAACCCAGCACGTGAAAGCGCCACAGAAAAACGATGTCTTTTGTATGCAGCAATGCCAATAACCCAGTGATTTCACGCGCGCGCAGGAAATGTTAAAGCCAAGCAATGAAAATTTTCGCATCAGATAATCTTATCGCACATTCCAACGAGAATTGAAACTGTCTTAAATTTGCAATTTATCTTTAATTGGCACAAGTGTAAGTCTTGCAAATCACAGATCAACGTAGTAGTTCGTAAGCTGTCGCATATATTAAACTTGTCTGTATCAAAGGTCGTAATTAAATAGCTTTTGCGTCGCCCTTTACCCGATAGGGTACCTGTTCACACACAAAAACGGTTGTAGCGGAGCGCCCCGCCGATCTCTAAAGCAGATAGTCACATATCCGATAGCTGTTCACACTGTAGCAGATAGCTTTTGGTGGCACCACAAAGAGCTACCGGTATAGTGTAAACGTACCCTAAACTACAACATTCACTGTTTCACTCACACCTTCTTTCTCGCTCAGGATGGGGTGGTCGAAGAATCGTTTTCCGCGGTAGACGACGACGCGTGAGAAAAGGCAGGAGACGATGGACTGTGCGATACGGTAGACGTCGTTACGTCATCAAACGAAGAGGAAAGAAGTCAAGGGTATACTTTATGAGAGGCTGGAGAATCATTGTTCGCCGGCGTGGCGTTCGATATTTGAAATACGGTCGCTCATGGCTCCGCATAAGACGATACGGCAGAAGATACCGGGTCATTTACCGCGGTAAAAGATATCTCATTTTCCGTGGAAAATCCAGATACCAAGTGCGATTCCGTCGAAAGTGGAGGTATATTAAACGTCGTGGTAGGAGTCGTTACATTCGGATCAGGAGAAAATGGGTTCGGGTAAATCGACGAAGACGTTATTTTATGCGATTTAAAGGACGAAGACTTGCAGTGAGGAGAAGAAGAGGAAAATTCCAACTTAGATGGAAGAGACGATGGCTAGGAGGGAGGCGCGCGCGCTACGGAAGGCGTCGCGTGCGAGGTAGTAACGAACAATTTGTTTATAGAACAAGCCGTAACACTTAGTTCTAGAAAGAGAAATTTTTTGATACGTAATGATAATCTGCATTCAATACATTCAAAATTATTTGCATAGTGGTGGATAGTCTGAGGGAACTTTCGTTACAAAATGGTAGAACTTGTTTGGTTTAAAGAGTGATAAAATTCAGTACCATGAAACTTGTTGCAAGAAACAGAGTGATCTGCGTTGTCTTGGCTGTTTGTTTTAAGTTTAAGGTTGTAGCGGCGACGACTCGAGTGCTAGAATGATTAAGATATCTTCTCCTTTTTGTATTTGACGTTGAAAATATACCTTATATGGATGCATCGAAAAATAGAACGAGGAAAAGAAAGACAGTCTCAACTGTCGTGACTGCCGGTGTGGCAACAGTGGGTGGATACACCTTGATGCTTGTACCAACGTTTGGAAGCCTGCTTAATTCGGCAAACTAATTTAAAATCCTGATCGTTTTTTCGTTTTGCCTTATTTTTATCTAATTTTCCTTCGACGAGTGTTAGGTGAAAAGTCGTCGCATTACAAACGTAGACAACAAGATTCAAGACGCACCCATGCTCATTGACGGCTGTTTCCAAGTAATTGGCAATTAATTGGCTAACTGGCAATAAACTACAGAGTATGGACAGGCATGACGTCTCCTGTAACGCCCAGGTCAAACGCCTTACTTCATTAGCTAAAGCTATTGTTCTTGCTCATTAGTATCATATTAGGCTCATGTGAATCACGGCGTTTCACCCTACTGTTCTTCCACTGACAAAATTCACAGTCCGCTCGAGATAACATCGTTATATGTTACCAAAAAGGTTTTTCACCTGCTCTGGCGAAGACACGTAGTATAGAAAGTTCCATAACTCAGAGCAAAAATTAAGAAAATGAAACGAAAATTAATGCTATTTTCTCCTGAAATTCTGCAAGGCCGGCGAGGTAGGAGACGAAGAAGAAGACGAAGGAGGAGACGAAGGCGAAGGCGAAGAAGAAGACGAAGGCGACGTAGGAGAAGAGGCAGAGGAAGACCGCGAAGGCGTAAGTTTTCTCACCAACACCGCAATAACGAAACTATTCCTAGGCTTGTCCAGTCGTCCAGGGATACTTTTCAGTTAACCTTTACATCATAAGTAATTATTTGTTAGCTTTCTGTTATTCCAGTAATACTGCTGATCTGAGTCACCAAAAGGTAATTAACGAAGGTCCCGCATGTTGTTCAGCCAAAAAGGTGTCTTCGCGGCACCATTTTGACGCAGGAAGGACCCTCGTGGTACCTGGATATATAAAGATGCCACCTTAATGTTTGCAAAGTTTTGGAATTATGACAAACTGTTATTCCCAATATTTAAACAGCATTTACTTTTTTGACTCGAGCAAGAATGCCGGAAATGGCATCTAAATTAGCTACATTTCCCTTAGAACTAAGTAAAAAATCTTGTTTAAGACGCTAAGCATGTAAAAGCCAGCAACTGTAATTTTAAGAAAGTTTGCTGCTGGACTTAAGTAATGAATACATCGCAGTTTTAGTCCTTACTTTGCATTTTTGAAAGGCAAGAGAAAATACTATAAATTTGGAACATTTGATGTGAAGAATGTTAAAAATTTTAAGTTCTTTATGTAAACGAAAAGAAAAGAGGAAGAACTGCGAATTACTGTAGTTAAAAAGTGTCTTTTGACTTATACAGGTAGACGACGTATCAGGTATCGAGGTAAAAAACGAATCCTGAAAATAAGAAGAAGGTACTTCTTTGGACTTCGCAGAAAGAGACCTATCCGTAAATTTAGGAGAAGACTTAGGATTAGGATCGGTAAGCGCTACAAGAGGATCAAACGCTGGGGAAGACGCTGGCGCGTCCGAATCAGAAGAAGATGGTGCAGGCTAAGACGGCGTGGACGCTATTGGTCTTACCGAAGGCGACGAACGTGGAAGCGTATCAAACGTGTCAGGCTGGTTTTAAGACTCCGAAAACGACTCCTACGGGTCAGGAGACGAAAAAAGATGTGGTACTTGAGGAAAGGAAAACGTTGGAGGCGCGTGAGACGCCGAATTCGCTGCAGCATACGTATCCGTGGAAAACGCATTAAAGTCAAGCTGATAGGTAGAAGAGGTGCGAAGGTCTTCCGAAAAGGTCGCTATGGTAAAGCAATAAGGATCCTCTGGAGACGTGAGTTGATAATGATGATTTAACTGAGGTTTGTGAGTAGCTAACCACCTATCCCCTCCCTAAAGTCAACACTTAACACTAACTTCTCAGTTAGGACAAAATTGTGACTTAAGGGAGGGGTTGGTGGTTAGTTACCCAGAAACCCCAATAGGGCAGTTGCACTAAGAGGTCACGTGACCAATGCTTCCTTTAAACGATGAGTTGGAATCTTGCTGATGCCAACAATTGACAGAGCACATAAAAATTATCTTACTCCCGAAACTTGAGAGGAAACGCATTTAAGGGAGATATTTTAAGGCACTTTGATTTTTTAACAAAGTAGTATGATTTGTATTGGCCGCCATGTTGGAAGGGATACTCTTGCCCTCCAACATGGCGGCCAAAACTACTTTTTGCTTATATCTTGTTAAAAGTTTGATAGTTACTCTCAGATGTGCTGTAAACGTTACCACATCATCTTTTCAACATTTCCCTTGAACTTCCAGTGTAAAATTTGTGTTCAGAAAGAAGTTATCCATAATTTTAAAATCACATTTTGGTCACGTGACCAGCTACGAACTTACTCATTTTAAGGAAATGGTGCGGGTTTGAAAAACCAAATCACTATTATTTAAGATATGACCCCCTAATCATTTTTTGAAGGCAAAATCATATAACTTTCATTTTCATAAAAACGATGTCACATGACCTCTTAGTGCAAATGGCCTATTGATCCGATGATTGTTGGCTTGTTTTGTGATGTTATAGAGGCTCAGTCAATTCCGATCTTACCCATCGTCCCTACTCGGACATTTTTCGGGCCTTTTGTCGGACCAATAAGATCCTTCCAAACTTAAAAAAGAACAAATGCCCCGTCCCTGAAACGAGGCAAAATTAATACTCTCTTGAAAAAGCCAAAGCTAAAATCTGTGCCCAAATTAACTGAAGGAAACAGTTCAACATCAACAGATCATTGAATTTAAATTTTCAAAAAGAAAAAAAAACCTGAGAGATTTTCCCGTTAATTTGCGGGGAATTAATGCTAAGAAAGGACAACGAAATGTTATATCTTTTCCTCCAAAAATAACAACATTTTCCCCTGGAAATCGAAGGAGCTTGAAGCAATTTCCTTGAAGAAGTGGGGTCCACTTTTAAGAGCTTTAATTTCGCAAAATATTTTAATCAATATGCAAATAAAATTGAATATTTTCATATTATTGCTGCGCCTGTAAAAACTCTTGAGTCACCCTAAAGAAATTTGTGGAAGTGCAGTTGTACTTTGTTACTAGTTTGCAAAACAAATTATTGATACGCATTAATTGTTACAATAATTTTTGTTCGCCCTTTGAGGCAATGTTTGTTTCTTAGCCTTCAAGAGGAAGAAAGCGGTTTATTTCACTGAATGAAATTGTTAGAAAACGTTTAGTCATAAAAAAAGTAACAAATGCTTGTTATTTTATGGTAGGACGATATGGCCGAAGAGGACGTAGAGCAAGGCGTAAGTATTATCTTCTTGCAATATTTAGAACGGGCTTAATATCCGACCACTCTCTACTAAAGGAAGTCCAACGCCGCTGACATTTGATCTCCATGGAAGCACGACTGATTCACTCCTTCCTTTTCCGTCTCATTCCCATTTTTTGCCATCATCCATTCCACATCCATTTTTTAAATTTTTGTTCTTATTCTCAGGCCGTAGAAGAAGAAGACGTCGAAGGCGACGACGAAGGCGTAAGTTATTCCTTTACTTCGTTACTTTCATTTCTTAGGGCCTCTTCACATGAGCCCGGTAGACCGTGCTGGCCCGGTTTCCGAGATCTCACCTTGCCTCTAAATCCTTTGTAAAATGTTTGATGTGTTCATATGAGAAGGCGGACTGGCACGGTTCCCGAGATCTCGGTTTTTCAATCCGGGATCTCGTTAAGCGGGCTAGAAAATTTTGCCGTATGAACACTTCACTCCGGTTACCGGGATGAAAGCGGCAAGAATTCGACGGCCCAGATGGCATCGTGTTGCTTTGCCCACTGTATTTTCCACATCATAAGCATCCCATTTAACCGCAGTGATACAGCTGTAAGAGTTGCCAAAGCTACCATAGGCGCAAAAGTTATAACTTTGTGTTTCGCCCAAGCGAAAATTGGTCCCGGTAACGGGGCAATCCCGGTCAACAGGGCTCATGTGAAGAGGCCCTTGTAATTAGCTACCGTATTATTTTATTGGAACCTTTTCTCAGCAAGTGGAAGCGATATGTAGGGGTCAAAGCACAAAAAGTCATCTGCAAGTTTATTGGTAAATACAATTCACATTAACATGTAGTGATTTTGAACAATTTATATATTACTTGGAAGGAAGTTAATAAACCTGTAAAATTAAAAAAGGTAGAAATCTCATCACTGATGCTATGATCGGGTCACCTTGCCAGCAGATCCTTTCATTTGTTTGCTTGATTTTGGCGTACTCGAGAAAGACTCTGCATGAATTGAGTAAGGCCTTTTTTGAGCATGCACGGCATGTTGCTAGGATATAGTCTCGAACCCAGGCCTTATAGCCGTGCGCTTGGTACAGCAGGCTCTGTTATGACCATCGGTTTATCAATAAACTGATGCTCGCGCTCCTAAACACCAGTACGACGAGAGTAAACAAGATTGACTAGTCAATCAGCAACCTCCCTTTCTGTTGTCTCATGCTCATAATCTCATGATCGTGATCTCTTGCTAATTTTATCAAGGCTCTTGAAAACTTGCCACCTTTAATACAATCAATATTCTCTCCCTGGTGAAAAGGTCAAGAAATTGTCAATGGAGCTTTAGTTTTTTTTAAAAAGAGGCTTCGTCACGCGATTTTCTATCCTTGGCTGAAGCTTTGTTCGCATCCATTAAATTCCAAAAATCATACCCCCAGTTTTGTTACTTTAGACTATATTTCGGCATTTTAACTGTTCCTGTCGTCTGTTGCAATGAATGGCAAGAGTGCACATGGAGTTTTTTTTGATGCTATGCTTGCACCAAAAATCACCAAAACATAATTATGGCCAGTACTCGCTAATGAGATTTGTTTGATATCGTCTCATAACTCTACAGGAGGAGCAGTTTGTGTATGGGGAAAAGTAATAAGCCTTTCACTGCCAGAATGAATGATAGTTGACTTTGACCGCTCTTGACAGTGAAAGGGTATAAAATAGTGACTTAGAATTGACCTAATACAACAGTATCCTCGTGACATAACCCCTTTAACGACGATAAGCCAAGTAAATGAAAATACCTTAGATTTTTTCGAATTTCCTTTTAGGTAACCGAAGACCAAAGATTCTCTACAGGAGGCGTATCCGGCCAATACGACGCGGGCGCCGTGGCATTAAATTCAGAATAGGGCGTCGCACCTTCCGCTATGGTAGAATAACATCCAGGGTGAAACTCTTCTTCCGAAGAGGATGGTACCGTCCCAAGCGCTTCGGACGCCGTTGGAGAATACGCGTTGGTAGACGAACTTGTCGTGTCATAAGGCGCGGAAAGTCATGGCGAGTGAGGTATGGAAAACGATGGATTATTACCAGGAAGTTCCAGTTCCGTGTCGGACGTACATACAGGACTGTCACCCGACGCGGACGTTTCTATTCTATGCGGTTCAAGCGTCGGACTGTGAAGTTTAGGTTCTACCGCCGTCGATTCTTTAAATTCAAAGGAAGGCGCATCTTTATAAGACGATCAAAGCGAATTGGACGAAGGAGGTACTACAAGTTCAAAGTGAAGGGTGTTTTGATCAGTCGAAGAAGACGCTTCCGAAGACGAAGGCGAATTAGATGTAAGTGCACTCTCTTACGGTGGCGGATTCAGATTATTTGGGAGCAACAACGACGGCGAAAGCAGCGAAAACGTCATTATTATAAAGACTTCGCTTCTTTTCCAAACCTGTCGCGATTATTCCGCCTCGTGTAAAGTCTCAAATGTAGGTGACGTTCCCAGGTCAAGAGGGAGAAAAAAATTTGTCGTCTTGTGTTTATGTCCTCAATAAAACGTCGCTTGAGGTTAATTTCACGTCGTGGTCGTACAGTGTCGGCAACGAAATGTACAAGAAAGGTTGCTGCAGGTGCACAGTTAAACCTGTCGCTTTTGTGACGTTCTCATTACTGTTGCCGTCGTGGTTGTTAAATCTCTCTCTTTTTAAGTGAGTGGGGCGGGGGGGGAGGGGCAGTCATCCAGACCCTAAGATAAGATGATGCGCCCGGCCTAGAAAATAATTTTTCTTGGCTATGGGGTTTCAATTTGGATTGAAGATAATGTGGGTGCTCGACTGGGGTCCCCCAGGCCCGTCCACTGGATTTGCCATCCTGAGCTTAATAGGCCTCTGCGAAAAAATACCATAATATTCTCAAATTACCGTTTTGGTCGAGCTTCAAGTAGCCTGAGAAAACAGCCGACATTTGGCGACGCTTCCACTGGCTTTCCCGCCAAATGACGTCTGAGAAACGAGCGCAGAAATTCCATACTCTTCTGATTGGTCGTACCGCGTAGGAAAATTGTTTCAACCAATCAGAAGCACCACCCAGCTATGGGTAGTGCGCGTCATCAGTATGGAATTTCTGCGCTCTTTTCTCAGACGTCATTTGGCGGGAAAACCAGTGGTAGCGTCGCCAAATGTCGGCTGTTTTCTCGGGCTAAGCTTCAAGTAAATCTTACTTTCACTTTACCATTTGTTCTTTGCACGAACTGCACGTGCAATGGCCGATTTGTAAGATTTTTTTCGATATCAAGTCTACGTTTAAAGAAGTCTCTGGTATGTCGGAAGCAAATACCTCGAACTTCCATTCGGGTCAGAACATTTGCTCGCTTCTATTTGAGGGATCATGGTTATTGATATTTACGTTGTGGAGTCAGAAACAGGCCCAGATGTGGCAATTTCTTTTTCACCTATTATAATTATTATCTGTATAACACATGTTGGTTTTAAATTATATCATCTGCGATTTTGATAACTAAGTCGAGTTTATTATTATTGTTTGCAGTCCGTAGAAGAACCTACGCCAGGAGACGAAGTAAGTCCTTTTTCAGTTTGCAAGATATATATGAGAAACTTTATTTTCCATCGAAACAAAGGCTATTGGTCTCGAAGAGTCCCGCAGTGTCTAATTATCGCTTCACTCCCCCACTAACTTTGAATAATTAAGATGAAATCCTATGGTGTTACCATTAAAATGAAACCACTTTGGCAGAACCTTTTCGTACTGCTATTATTTCTTTTTTTAGGATTTTACAAAACAGAACTTTGAGTTTTTTGGTGAATTTTTCTGTTGGCCACCATTAGGAATGAAGTGGTTAAGGAGCTCAACTAGACGGAAACAATTACTCCTCTTTGCCAGATGAACTGTAATGAGAGGCACCGATCATATATAGCTGCTATAGCTTCTGACAATAACCCGCATAATATCCCCCTCCCCCCTCCCCCCCATCAACAACGCACCCTAGGTTCTACAAGCAATATTGCGGGTCTGACGAGGTGTTAACCTGCAATGAGAGGAGGCGTAAGACGACTTGAATGTATGCAAGGACAGCTAAGAAACACCTTAAAAAAGATGTCCTTTTCTAAAACAAGCGGGACTTGTATTGCACAAATGTACGCTTTTTTCGTTGAATTTTCGGTCAATTTTATGATGGAGAAGAAAATGATGTTTACTGTTGTGGGTGCTGATCGAGTAGTTTTGTCATATTATTTAGTGTAATTTCAGAGGATAGCCCTTTAGACAATTTGACCTCTTTTGAATATTACCATTTATCAGGACGAAGACGACCAAGATTGCTGTTCAAGCGTAAACTTCTCAAACTAAGACGAGGAAGGCCTGTATTCCGTGTGAAAATTGGCGGACGAACGCGAATTTATCGAAAAATCGGGCGACGAATGAGGATTAAGTGCCTTGGCCGTTGGCGTCGCTTAAAATTCCGCCGAAATAGGTGGAAGGTGAAGATAGGCACGTGGCGAGGTATCTTAAGGAAAGGTCGTCGGTGGTATGTGCGTCACAAAAGGCGTTTAATTCGCCTTCCTCGAAAACCCAGCACGCTACAAATTCGTCTCCACAGACGTTACAGACCAGTAATGGTCCGTGGAAGGCGATATTTCGTAAAATTCGGTCGGCGATATCGAGTTCTTAGGCGCAAGTTTACATGGTTCGCAAAATACAAGGGACGAAAACTTACGGTAAAGAGAAAAGGAAGACTTGGCTTTGTTCGTTTTCGCGGAAAATTGTATCGGGGAAGAAGACTTCGATTCATAAGGCGTCGAAGAGGTACGAGGTGGTAATTTTTTCTCTGTGTATCACTCTGTGACGAACCTAAAATACCGTAAATCCTCTATTAAGCCCCCCCCCTTCCCCGCTCGCTCTAATAAGTTCCCCATCTATTTTAAGATCCTCCCCCTTTATTCTTATGATATACTGTATTAATCAGTTACGACTTAAACGCTTTACGTGGACTGATCCGGTATGATTTATCCAAGTGCTGGGAGTTCAGATTTGTTTTTGATCTTCGGCTGCATTACCTCCACCTGTATGTGCCTGAGCTTTTCCCGTTTGCGTTCTAGTTTTTATGAAGAATTGATACCATCATCTTTGCTAAATTAAATACCAACTCTCCCGCAAAAGCTACCTCGTCAAACTTGCTTGAAATGAATTAGCCCCCAGAGGCCTAAAAGAAGATTTACGGTAGGCCGCTTAGCAGTTTTTAATGATGTAAAGGCGTGAACGATTGTATCTTGGTATGAGTTTTACTTGAGAAAGATTATCAAGTCTTCACATCAATTTGACAAAGAAAATAGAGAGATTTAGAATTACGTTTATGACAAATAGCAAACCTCAGATTCAAGTTGACCATTTTTGAAATTATGATAATAAGCAAATAAAAACCAGGAAAATTAGTTGTTGTAGATGAACTGATATGAAAGTTACTCAGTTTTGTGGAAATATAAACAACAGGAAAAGGGAAAAATTCGTCACGTGGTACAAATTGACCTTTGCAGTTTGCCGCGATTGTGATTCTTAGTCTCAATTATGCACTGTTACCACTGAGGTACTGTGAGTGTGCCATTTATTTTTTTTTTACCAAGTTCCATGCTTAGCCTTTTATGAATACAATGTAATGTTAAACCCTGTGCCATTTTCTTTAAATAGATTTTAAGCTAACTTTGGTCGCCATCTTTTAAAAGCGTTAAACCTAACATAAAACCTGAATTATCGCACTCAAACAACAGTCACTGGCAACATCTATTTAGCAAATAAACTTTGTTGGACTATTCATAGGTGGTGTTTCTTTTCCAGGACGCCGTCGAAGACGAAGGAGAAGGCGAATTGTTAGAAGGCAACGTCAAAGAAGGCGTAGACGGCGAAAGAGGAGGCGAAGACGGCGTAGACGACGCAGGCGAAGGCTAAGGCGAAAACGAAGGGCCTTGAGACGTTCTGTGATACGTGTCTTTGCCCGTGGGGCGTGGAGACCTGCCCTTAGAAGGAAAGGAACAATGAGAGTCCTTTGCGGGCGTAGATGGAAAGTATTGAGGTAAGTAACGATTGTCGGTAGTGCCTACGCGCTGAACAAAAATGGTACAGCTGCCTGGCGCTTGAAACCCCCTCAAATCAATACACAGAGTCATAGACAGACCATGTTCCCAATTAAACATGTGAATATATTGACCTCAGATAGAGAGCAATTGGCTCCCAGCGTTGATGCAGATCTCAAATCTGGACTTTTTATCTCCTGTTATGACGGTGTGCTATTGACATAACTTGTCCTTCAAGCGCCAAACTGTTTTCTCCTGACGTGACTTGGCTGTTAGTGTTTCTTAAGGAAAAAACCACCTCCCAAAATTCGGCTTCAGCTATGTTTATCGCTTAAAATTTAAAAATTTCTCCATTGCAGATATCGAAATGGCAGAGCTAGGGTTGGTAGAAGAGGGCGGTGGTTTAGCATCAAAAGGAAAATCAAGGTCTTCTATGCGAAAAGATGGAGACGCCTGCGATTCATCCGTCGGGTAACCAAAATACGATACTTGAAAAAATACAGAACAGTCAAACTGGGAAGAGTCAGTGTTATGCTCAGATACAAACGGAAATGGATGACGATTCGCCGACGAAGGAAACGCAGGGGGTATAGAAGAACCAAACGCCGGCGCAGACGCAGGAGGCGAAGACGAAGAAAACGAAGGCGTCGACGAAGGAAACGAAGACGAAGGAGGAGGAGAAGACGACAACGGCGACGACGACGAAGACGACGAAGGACGCGACGTCGCTGCGGAATACGTTTCCGGTACAGACGAAGATGGAGAAGAGTAATCAGAAGAAGAGGAAAGCTCTTTTTCCGTCGGGGGAAACGTTTGACGAGAATAACGTAAGAATTTTCACCAAAAATTATTCCTTTAGCCAAGCTTTCATTGACCCTAAGGGGACATATTTCAGTAAATTCGATATCAGAATATTATTGAGATTTTATCTGAACAATTTTTCTATTTCCTAAAAAGAAACTGCTCAAGGTTTTGTGATATTCAGTTTTTGAACCCCGCAAAAATACTTCGCCGTCTTAATTTTATTCTATTTTGTTTCATTACACTATTTTTTCTGTTGGATCGATGGCTTAGATCTTGTAAATGTCAAAAGTTCACTTCGGTATACGTTCTGTTCTTTTCGTTTTGGCAGGATCGTGGTAAGCAAAGTATAAAAGAGATCTCGCATCCTATAATAACAAACATTTTTCCTTGGTCATTTTGAAATATACTGTCAGCTGGAAATATATGAGATAGGTCTAGAACTGAGAATTTCCTAGGGGTCTGAGACAGTCTGAATGTCCGAGAATTCTCTAAGTTCCAATTGCTAACCGAAACTCGAGCGGCTTCCGAGTATTGCTAGCTTTCAGACCTCGGACCAGCTGACGGCGTATTTCAAAATTGCTGCAAAATACAAAACATGAGGCAAGTTATCTGTATTCAATTATTATTATTATTATTATTATTATCATTTACTGGATGTGAGTCTCCTGTACTTTCCTTAAGAGGATTCGGATATGAGCGCCCCACGTGATCGAAGTCTAAACGTTCTCTGCGACGATTTCGCTTGTCTAGTCCCGATTAGCTCCCCTGGGTAGTGGGGGATCAAAAGGTTCTAAGCGTTAGTCTTTTAATTAATGTATTACTTCTCACGAAGAAGTTCCTTGAAATAAGACAAGTCTTACGACCGACAGAGAATAACCAACTATCCCACGATATTGCTTAGATAATTTCAGTTTGTCTCACCCACAATATATTTCATTTCTTGGCTTTGCGGAGTAAAGCTTAGTGCACTATGTTTGTATCTTTTTGGTGTTCATAGATACCGTAGACGCTTGTTGTATATCAAACGTCGTCGTGGCTGGCGCCGAATCCGTGGAATACGAAACAGGTTGAAGTTTAGAGTTGGAATTAAGTGGAGAAAGGCAAGAGTTAGGCGCGGAAGGTTGTGCGTACGACGAGGACGGCGATATAGGAGGATAAAAATTACCAGAAGAGGAACTGTGCGCATCCGGTACGGACGAAGAGGAAGACGACGGTGGAAAAGAATTACCCGACGAAAGGGAAGGAGAAGAAGGCGACGAAGAAATACTAGAGGGGTATTGAGAAGGCGGAGGCGGAGACGAAAAAGGCGTAGACGCAGGCAAAGACGACGGAGGAGAAGCAGACGGCGTCGGCTACGCAGAAGAAGAAGGCGAAGGAGACGAATGAGGAGAGTGAAACGAAGGAGACGTCGCTGCGTGATGCGTTACCAATATCGCCGCGTTTGGAGAAGAGTCTATCGCAGACGTGGTGGTTTTAGGATCAAAATAGGAAGGAAATTGAAGCGATTCAGGTAGTCATAAAAATGACTTTCTTTTCCTCCTTAATGTTTTTTGTAACTTACAGGTACATTACGATCCAAAGAAAATCCGAAATTACCGCCTTGTGCCGAAATTACGTGCGGTTGTAAGAGACACTTTTACCGTGATAAATGACCCTTTGACCATGGGCAGGTCTTTCTCAGGATAAATTTACAATGGAATATATTCATGGATACGTCAAAAAGAACAAAGAAACCGCCCATGACATTTAACGTGGTAAATAGCGAGGGTGTTTCGATACTCATGGCAAGGAAACCAATCAGGATTGTTCACTGGACACCAACATGAAACTGCAACTATCTATTGTTTGATTTAGGGGGTTTCTTGCGGCTTTTCCCGGAAAGATCAATTTTGACAAGAACGATTTTCACGTTAAGTGAAATGGAAATGGAAATTTGAGGCCTAGATGTAAAGAACGTTGTATACCTTCAGGAATAAAATAGCAAATGAAATATTCCTCAAATCATACCTGAATTTCCAACATAACATGAAATCCTGCCATGATCGACGGCGGTTATTACCGCAGTAACTCGAATGAAGCCGTAAGAGCGGCTAATTTACCTCGAAAATTACTTTATGTATTACTACGGTAAACAAAATTCACGTTAAATTTACCGCGGCTTTTCTACTGTAGGAAATTCCTTCTACCTTGGCCGGTGTGTGTAACCGAACTATTTTGCTGGATTCTTCGGTCTGAATTTTGGAAAGTAACAAACAGAAGAATCCATTTCGGTAGATTCTTTTTCTTGCAAGAGGAACTTTGCTTGTTTGTTTGTTTGTCTATTTTTCCTTTGTATTTAAGATTAAATTGTGGATTTAAACTTTTAGTATCTACTCTGCTAGAGATATGGTTTGGAATAGATTGCTGGCACGTTGCCAGCAGAGAATCTCAGTGCAAGACAAAGCTTTTTTAAAAGCTCTATTAGTCTAAAATTAAAATTTGGTTCCAGATTGTACATATATAGGTACGGGATTAACTGCTTTTCCGCACGTCTACTTCCTGTATAAGTAACATCGCTTTCATCATTACAACTTGACTAAGAGGGAATCTAGTCAGGTAATGGCGGAACGTTTTATCACAGAAATAAATTAGAATTCATTTTGACTTCTCTTTGAAAAGAAGCTTAATGCCTTGAATTAGCGTGGTGCATTAAACATTGAACTGTGTTTTGTGTTTTCACCGCAGTGCTTTAAGAGGTCTATTTTTATACTAAGCAGGAGGGTTAAACAAAGGAAAAGGGTGTGGAAAAACAACAGTTACAGCCTGTGTAATTTTCTAATCCAAGCAATTTTACGTGTTTTTAGCTTGCGTAGAGGACGGGTTAAGATTGGTCGTGGGCGCTATAGACCAGCTGGCAGACGCCTGAAAGTGAGAGTTGGCTTAAGGTTTAGACGACCAAAGCTGTATCGTGGAAAATGGAGAATCAAATACAGACGAAAGTTGAGGCTACTTAGAATCTCACGGAGGGGTATACGTTTGCGATATAAGCGATCTTGGAAGAGGGTGATAAGACGGCGTAGATATGGTAGAAGAAACAGAAGGCGTAAGTTGAGGAGAAGAAGAAGGAGAAGACGAAGAAGGAGATTGAGAAGACGAAAAAGGCGCAAGATTAGGCGACGGCAACGTAGGCGGAGGAGACTAAGAAGAAAGGCACGTCGCAGGAGGCGAAGACGAAGAGGTCGTGGTCGGTGCGTGCTGCGTGTCCGTTATGGTAGGCGGTGGAGAAAGGTGTATCGAAGGAGAAGACGCCTGGTATTCCGTTTACGGGGAAAGAACGTACGGTTAAGGTACGTTTACTTTGGGTGAAAGACAAGCCGCGCTTATCTGAATGCGGTTGAATTTCCCCCTTCAAAAACTCCAGGGAGAATGAGTATAAACTTTGAGTGCAGAGATTTCTGTTTACATGATTGGTCGATTGTGCTGAGTGCAACCATTATTCATCATAAGTAGCACTTGTCCAACTAAATGATCCCAGAAATCATAGCGCCAACGTCTCGTACCCATTCCTCATATAGTCTCCGGAATGAGCAATTCTGCTTAGAGGTCTATATGAATGAAATCTTCTTTTGTTTTGGAAGAAAGTTGTAGTTGTAAGAGTAAAACAGGACCTTTTTATTCGTGCGAATTATATGTTATATTGGAGTAGATGTTGACAAATCGTTTAGGTCTAGGCTTTCCACACACCTTGAAAGTGCTTGAACTTTTAAAAAAAATTCGCCTTGAAAGTCCTTGAAAATTGCAGTCGGTGCTGGAAAGTCGTTGAATTACAATGCTAACTTTGTAGTTTAAGGAGAACTGCAAAGGAAAAGGAGCAAACGCAGAAAGACTTTTGGGATAAAAGTGCTCCTGTTTTTGCACTGAATAGAGTCCTTGAAAAATGGGAAATGTGTCCTTTAAAAGTCCCTGAATTTTTTGTTCAAAAACGATATATGAAACCTGTTGCTCTCAAGGTTTATACAAATTACCTTTGTATGAGCAAGTGATATCTGTTAATGGTACTGATTTTTGTAATACTTTCTAATTGCATAAACAGAGTCTATTCTAACTAAACGAGAAACCATAAATAAGGCCGACTTTAAGCTGGTTTATACTAGCGACAAAGTCGGAATTGCAGTCGTATTCTCGGTGCTTAATGATGCAGTGAAAGAGAATTCTGATTACGCTTACGACTCCAGGTCAAAAGTAGACTGACGTAGCTCATTGCAAGCAAAAGCGAAAGTACCAGACCAATCAAGACGTGGGAAAACGGTCATTGTGATTGGCTGATATTCGTCCTCTTCTGCTTGCAACTCCGACAATCTGGTTTTCATTAGGGAATTTAAGATCCAACGACACGATGGCAACGAGAACGTCAAAATAACAATAGGTTTTATAAGCAAAACAACAACTTTGCACGTGCATCACGCTTTTTTTGTAACATTTCTCTGCCGCTTTTGCACGACTACATACGACGCGTAAATGCTCAATTTCGCGTTTTATGGGTAACGTAAATAAGCAACAGCGAAATCTTAGTTCTCTTTTCAAACTTAGATATGTTCCATAGGAATTCAACTCCAGTTTGGTTCACCTACATTTGACAAAGTAAGTGGGTAGGAAAAAGCGCGATAAAGACTAAAACAGCGCAAATTGACTTTTTAAGCGACGTTCCCGTTGTCGTTGCGTCGTTGGATGTTAAAGTGCCTTTTAAATAGTAACCGACGCCATCGTAAACAATGACACGTTATGATTCTTGCTCCTCCGATTCCGTCGATTACTATGACTCCGAGTAATAATTTTCACTGTTTCATAGGCGTTCTCACGACCCCTACTCTACCTCCGTTTGTAGTAAAAAGAAGCCTTAAAAAAAATACCCTCCTTGTTGGGAGCCATTGAGAATGACTGAAGCAACACCGGGGATCATTTCTGGGTTAGAACCTTCCCTATCAGGAAGGTTGTAACTTTTGAGTTTGTGGACAAAATTCTATCGTGTGACCATTCAAATAAAACCTCTTCGACAGACCTATCACCAGGAACTATTTGTTTTTCAATATTTTACAAAGTGAAATTTAAAAGTTGTTTTGAGTTGTGACTTTGGCTAATTAGGAAGGAATTGAACCCACGACCTTCCGTACACTAGTCGGATGCTCCAACCACTGAGCTGCTGATAACTCAGTGGTGGGCAGGGCAATTGTGGGCTGACATGACTACCGCATCGCGCAGTCACATTATGTTAAGTGGTTTTCCTTTTAAAATATTACTTACGGTTATAAGGTGATTTCCACTTTACTTACATTGTTTTTCCCATATAGATACACAAGAAGACGACTCTTTATTAGGAAACCAGGGCGTCGATGGGCTCGATTGACTGGAGTAAGAAGGCGACTTCGTGTACTAGTAGGCCGTCGTTGGTGTGGGGTAAAGGTGTATAGAAGAAAGCTGTACTATGTCAGAAAAGGCCGCAGAAGACGACCCATTAAAATAGGGCGAAGAGGAGTGCGGGTATACAAAAGAAGGAGGTGGAAATCTCTTGTGTACAGAAGGCGAAGGCGATCGCGAAAGTATAGGAGACGTTTAAGACGAGTACTTAGAAGACGAAGGAGAAGAAGAATCCGTAGGCGGAGGCGACGAAAGAGGAGGAGAGTGAGAAGAAGACGACGACGAAGGCTAAGGAGGAGGCGGCGAATGCGACGTACAAGAAGACGACGACGACGTAGAAGACGGCGTGGAGTTTGCGTGTTACGGTTCCGGTATCACCGTGTGTGGAGAAAGGTTTACAGAACGCGTCGTGGACTTAAAATGAAATTTAAGGGCCGATGGCGTAGATTTAGGTTTGCACCTTTTTTTTATTTAAAATAGGAATAAAACTCCTGTATATAGGAAAACTTTGCGTGGCGACGTAGAAATATGTCATTTTGTCGATGGATATCCCCGTTCTTTTTAACATCGCTTAGTTTTTTCCTTTACCTAGCCTTCAGAAAAGGCGTTATTTTTCGTGTTTTTTAGGTGAGCAAAGAGGACCAGATATGCACGACAGGGGAAGGCGCAGAAAAAAAGAATTTTAGTCTTTGTTCTCCTTCCTTCATCGCGCGTGTCTGGCACTCCTGGCGTGCTTCGCGCTTTCTTTCACTTGCCTGAAAACGTAAAAAAACAACGCCTGTGTTGCAGGCTACATTTTGCAGGAACACTCCTCTCTCGGGAGGCCTTAGTTGTTATGACTGAGCGACAGGTTTTATGATGCCTTTGTTTCTGTCCAGGTACTTCCGTCGAGGAGTGAGAATTGGACGAAAATACGTGCGCAAAATAACAAGAAGGATTCGAATCCGTGTCAAGGGAAGAATATATAGATACGTCAAACGTGTGGGCAAAAGCCTGCGTGTAAGATACAGAGGTGTCAACCGAAGGCTTATAATAGGAAGGAGAAGAATCAGATGGCGCATTGGAGGCCGCTGGAGGAAAATCAGTTATGGAGGAAGACGTAGAAGAAGGAGGCGACTAAGGAAGAGAATCAGACGAAAGAGAAGAAGATACAAAAGGAAGTTAAGAAGACGTCGACGAAGACGACGACGAAGACGCCGGCGACAGAGAAGACGCCGTAGAAGGAGACGTCGTTGCGTTTTACGTTTCCGATTCCGACGAAAGTGGCGACCAGTGTTCAGGAGACGTAAGAGACTCGTGTTCAGTTATAGGAGGAAACTAAAGACTCTGAGGTATTAAAGGATTACTGCTCACTTTTGGACCCTACCTTTCAAAAATTAAACAATAGTGCATCAAAGAAAGACAACGAATGCTTTTCCTGGTGTAAGAGCCAAATTTGAAATTATAAATACGTCCACCATTCAATGATAATGAGTTTTTCTTCGCTTTTTAGTTCCAAAATGAGTTTTTTGGCTTTGAGGTTGGAATGTTTTAGAAAATTGAACACGAGTATTACAATTAACTCCCCAGCGGGGTACTCACGGTATCTTGCATAAATTGGAACAAATTTGCACCAAATTTATGTCGTGAGCGAATTTTCTTCGACTTATTTGCAACAGGTTACGTCCGCGGAGTCATTGGGGAAAAGGAGGCTGTTTAGAAGTCATTTTTGACTAGCAGCAAATCCCATCTCTTCTCGCGATGGAACGCGATGATAGAGAGATTAAGATTCATTTTTACCGCAAACGGCAAGCGTCAGACTCAAGTTGAGAATTTCTCAGAGCAGAAAATAAGCAGATAAAAACAGTCCCGAACGATTCCTATGGTTAAAACTGGAATGTGTAGAAGCAATAAAGAGTAAAATAAAGTAAAATAAGGGGGAAACTTAATCACGTGGTACAAATTCACGTCTGCCGTTTCGTGCAAACGTGACTCTTAATCTCTCTAACAGAGAGTTTAAACTTCACGTATACGGCAAACGGCAAACGGCAAACGGCAAACGTCAGATTCAAGTTGAGAATTTCTCAAATAGAAAATGAGCAGATTAAAACAGCTCAAAACAATTCTTATCGACAAAAGAATTGCGTGAAACTACTAATTTATGTATAGATATAATGAACAGCAAGGGGCAAGTAAAGGGGAACTTGGTGAAGCGGTACAAATTTGCGTTTGCTGTTTGATGTAAACGTGATGCTTAACTTATCTAACATCTGCCGTGTAAACGGGGCTGAAGGAAGGATATACGCCTTATAACAAACACGGCAGAGACAAAAACTAACTTTTCGTGTCGTATAGGTTTCCGTTAGGTTCTTTTAGGTGTCGGAACTAGTAAAAACAAGAAACAAGCGCCCTTGTTTTGATGGATTTGAGGTCGCTTTTCCTGCGTATTAGTAAATAATGCAATATACCATCGTTTTAGAATGCACTATGCCTAATAGACGTTAGAATCTTTTGCTCAATGGAGGTCACTTATTAAAACATCAATACCCGTATTTACGTTTTTATGCTTTCATTGTATTTCAATTTGCCATTTTTTAGATACCGCTTTGGCGTTCTCCGTGTCCGATGGGGTGGAAGGTGGATACAATACCGTAAACCAACATACCGTATCCGCATTCGCGTTGGACGTCGTTGGAGAAGAGTCATAAAACGTGGTAGAAAATGGTTATTAAAATACCGTCGTCGCTTCCGAAAAGTCCGACTCTACAAAGGACGGGTGAATGTCAAACTAAGGTTAAGATGGAAACGAATCAGACGAAGAATAAGTAGAAGGGTCATAGTAAGGCGACGAAGAAGGAGGAGAAGGCAAAGAAAGCGAAGAAGACGAAGGAGACGATTACGAAGGTATAAGAGGAGAAAACGTCGATTGAGGCGCAGGAAAAGACGGCAACTTCGAAGATGTGTGATACGAATTCGCCGAGGACGCAGATGGTATCCTGTCTTCAGAAGGCGAAGAGGACTAAGGATACGTTTTGGAAAAACGGTGCGACGTATCAGGTAACGTATTAATAATACCGATTAATTAATCTTTTACGTCTTCGATGCGCGCCAGAGGTAAAAAGGGAGCTTTTTGAAACGACGGTGACCGGCAAAGATAAGCCATAGCAACAATAAGGAGCTAAAGCACAGGGCGCTTTCAGTTGAGCAAGGCACGTCAACCGAGATTGAAGCCTTTTCTCTTTTAATATGCCTTGAAGCTACCAAATTTGTATAGCGTAGTTTCTTTCCTCTTCAAGAGAAGATTTGTGCAAAAACGTGGGCAAAACCATCACCCAGTAGTTCAAAATGTCCCCTTTCTGGTTGACAAGCGTCGCTCAAAAACGTCTTTGCTCTTTGGTTCCCATTGTATAGCACCTCTGCAGGTCCGTCACACTTATTGGTCCATTTTTGGCGTCCTTTGCACAACTAAGGCGTGAAGTCTTATGAACATCGTGAACACGCAACGAGGTTTCCCCTCTCGTAATGAACTTGGGTATGCTCCCTAAGAGTTTCCTCCGTAAAATCGCCTTCATTTGAAAGATCAGGCTAGATAAAGTATCGTGATCAGTGTTAAAGGAACGCGAATTCCATATTTTAGTGACTTTTATACTATGGATGTCGTCATAAACTCTCAATGGTATTAACTCACCACTCTTCAAAAAATTCTTAGTTTGTTACTGAGTGAAGAGGGCACAATTCTGCAAGGTGCTTGGTTAATCATTTTCCCTACGTCTTTTTTTTCAGAATCACCAGAGGTACAATCCGAATCCAGTACGGAGTTCGCTGGATTACCAGAAGTTATCGAATCAACGTTCGAGTTAAAAATACATGGCGAAAGGTTGGACGGTTCGGTCGACGGTTTGTGCTTCGTTACGGACGAAAAAGACGATCCTTGAGCTTCTATCGCGGTCGGCCCAGGTTCCGCGTAGGTAGAGTTGTAAAGGTTGTAAGAAGAAGACGATATGCAGGCAAAAGAGGAAGACGACGCCGAAGACGATCTCGCCGAAAGAGGAGGAGAAGAAGGCGGAAGAGACGCCGGCGACGACAAAGAAGGAGAAAAAGAAGAAAGCGACGGCGAAGACGAAGAAGGAAACAAAGACGAGCGATACGAAGAAGACGAAGACGAAGGCGCCGAAGATGCGTTATGCGGTTTAAGTTCCGTCGTCGGTGGAGGAATCTTATTCGCAGAGGACGGAAACTTGTTTTCCGCGGCAGAAGAGGATCCGGACGAGTTAGGTTAGAGGAGTGTTTTGTTTTTTATCGATTGATAGATTGATTGATGATTAAATCAGGAAACCACATTACAAATACTATGACCACTACCTTACAGTTACTAAGGCTAGCTCACACCACACCAGTCGAATTTTCGACCAGTTGAAAAATTGTGTGTTTAGTTGTTCCGTGTTCAAATTAGAGCGATTTTCGTATAACCTTGAAAAATAGTTTCGTTAAGCGTTCGTCATTTGTTTTATCAACCAGTAGATGAAAAGGTCAAAACATGGCCTCTTCGTTTTCCCGCCAAAGAAAACCCTAATATGGAGAAGGCATTGTTCGATTGGCCAATCGTGGTGCAGTATGACGTCAAAGCGAAGTTCCTGGGCATAAAGGTTTTTTCACCCGAACGTTCGCCCAACCAACCAAAAACCGCGCGCGTTTGTATCAGTTCGATAAACCAATCCAATTGCTCTATTTCGGTTCGTTTGTTGTTTCTGTTTTGTTCGCGAGTTTTCATTTCAAGGTCATACGAAAACCGCTCTCCGTGTGAACACACCGAAGTTGCCGAGTGAACGTAGCCTAAACTGCATTGCGTAAAACGGCAGTCCGTCATAACATTAAGGACCGTATTTACTCAAATAAGCTCCGCCCCTTTATGAGCGCTGCGGCCATGATATAATGAATGGGCGAATGAAGTTTATTGTATATTCCCCTCGGGGCATGTCAGTGAAATTGTCCAACTCAAATAAGTGCGGCCATCAAATAAGCGCCGCATTTGAGAAGTGACAATTTTACAATTTTGATTACATGCGGTACCCCACAGTTAAAAGCTTATAATGAGGAACGGGAGATCGTGTAAATCGGTAAATTGTGTTAAAGGGTTTAGGGTGCGTTCGATTGACCGCATTCTGAAATAGTAATACTCCTCATATTGACCTGCTTCTTCGTTTCCGGTATAAATTGAATATGTTCTGAACATTCTGCTCATATCAGTCTAATTTGATAAATGGTATGCCGGAATAATCCAGGATGTATTCGTATTACATTTCGATCGATTACAACTATGCAACGCGTTAGTTTGTACAGAAACTGTTGTGTTGCGTCGTTGGGGGAGTGAAATACAATAATTTGGTTTTATCAAATGAATTAATAAAGTACACTAGCTAGCACTGGAATAGAGTAGCTGACGTTTGGAATGCTACCGCCTCACTAGAGTGAATCAGAAGGTTGTGCGAGTGGGTGATGTTTACATAGCGGATGTAGTAGTTGGTGGAACGTGAAAAAACAACAACAAACTAGTTGAATGAAAGGCGTTCGCAGATTCTGTTGGAGTTAACAGCGCGGCCTTGAAAGATAAGGCTGTGCTCTAGAGTTTTGTGGCTCTCCATGTTGCTTTGGTAAAGAGGGACACTGGAAATTGCCATGTTTTGGCTAGAATGATTGGCGCGATTAAAGTGGCGAGCTTCTGCCACTACTAATGTGTTACAAACAGTCCTCAGAACATATATAACATTCAACCTATAATTAAATGACTTCTTTATTTCTGTTTTTTTTCTTACAGATTCTACGGGCGCAGAGTAGTAGTGACTTACAACAGAAGACGCCGTACTCTAAGACGAACAAGACGCCGATTCCAGGTTCGGGTGTACAAGGTATGGCGTACACTTAAACGATATGGAAAAACATGGGGATTGCGGTACAGGAGACGAACAAGGCGCGTTATGATTAGAAGAGGATCTCTTAGATACTTCCTCCGAAGGAGATGGCGAAAGGTCAGGCGACGAATATCCAGAAGACGAAGAATACGATTAAGACGCAGGCGAAGAAGGAGAAGAAGAAGAAAACTGCGAAAAGTTCGAAGAAGACGGCGAAGACGATATCGGCGTGGAAGGACCAGGATGAGACGAAGAAGGATAAAGAGACGGCGAAGAAGACGAAGGCGACGAAGAAGAAGGCGACGACGTCGAAGAAGAAGGAGAAAGAGAGTTAGGCGCCGACGCTGTGGAATACGTTTCCGTTACAGAAACAGATGGCGTAGAGTGTACCGTAGAGGACGAGTTCTCCGATTCCGAGCTGGTAAACGGACATGGGGCCGTTTCTAGTAAGTTTTTAAACTAAAAGGTACCCCCTCCCCCCACGAAGCTTTTTCAGTTCCCCCCACCCCCGTTTTCCCGGTGTACAATTTAACTCGCTCCCCACTGACCGCCGCACTGTACTACCTGAACGCCTGGAACAGGTTGTTGTTGTACCTCAGCATGGGTACCAAAAGCCCCAACGGTTATAAAGCAAGTTTCGATATTCTTTTCACAAAATCAGTTGACATGCCTACGGTACAGTCCTTTAAAGCACCCAAAAAGTTCTCTTCAAGCGCTTCCTTGCTACTAGAAAAGAGGTTCTGTGGGCTGGAATATAATCTGCATGTTAGATATCAATATCAGGTATTGTTGCTATAGTGAAGCGGTTTCATAATTATTTTAACCAAGCATTTTTTAACTGCAAAACGCATATCCAAGCGTCCTTTGTTGATTCTTAAGAATGTGCTATGAACCGTTGTCTTGTGGGACAAAAATCGCATTGCGAAAATCATACCCTCTACAAGGTCGTAGTCTTTTCCTAAGCGCATCGCATGCGGCAAAGGGGTGTGGTGTTAATCGCTCGCTATTATTCTATTTGACTTTATTAGACATTCTGTTAAGGCTATTAACTTCATGGTAAAGGTATGATCGTTTAAGAAAGAATTTAAGACGGAATCCACCAGGAAATTGAGTAAGTCTAATTTTCAGTGGACAAAAACCTTGTACCAGAACAATTTAAAGAATATTGCATTCTTTTTTACATTTTTCAAGGGCTAAAGATGCAATTAGTTATCTGTAACAACACCAAAGAAAACTTCTTATGGGAGCCCGAGCAAGTGAATGTCAAGTTTTGCAAGAATTGTGAATACACAGGTCAAATGTTGAAAATTTCATGTCCAAGATGTCCTTTTGTGAAGTTTGACGTTTATTTTCTCGGGCTTTCATGAGAAATTTTCTTTGGTGTTATTACAGAAAAATACACGAGAACAACCAAAGCCGGGTGCTTAAATGGCCTAAGGTCAGCAAAAAAAAACGTGAAGAATTTACAATACTATTAAATCAAAGAAAGAAAAAGACAGTCAGAAAACTTAAAACTAAAATACATTACTTAACAACTAATTTACAATACTTAAACAACTAATTATTATGACTACTAAATTTACAAACACTCGATAATACTTCCTATAAACCATACAAACCTAGTATAGTCCCACAAGGCCTATAACCCTTGAAATATGTATAAAAGAATGCAATATTGTTTAAATTATTCTGGCACAAGGTTTTTGTCCACTGAAAATTAAAATTACTCAATTTCCTGGTGGATTCCGTCTTTTAAACTACTACATGAGAAATTTCTACAACTTGATTGGCTTAGAGCTGTGGTATTTCAGCTTAATTTGAAATACCCGCATGTGAAAATTACAAACCTTTTGCGGGTAGTAGTATAAACGAATAATAGCATGATTTGTACGTGATATTTGACATAAATACCACTCGTGATATTTTAAATTACGTCTACAATTTTAAATATCACTCGTGGCATTTATGCCAAATGTCAATACAAATCAGGCTATTACCTATACAAACTCTTACAAACGAGTATGCCCAGTCCCAGTACCTTTTCCTGTAGAAGTATAGCACCTTTGAGTCAGGTGTGACTCAAAGAAGTCATATCTTCGCTTCAAAGCAGTCGTATATGCGGATGAGGGGTTGTCCAAGTAAGTATATGTTCGATTCTCCAGATTCTCCTGACAATTTTCATTGTTCATTTTAGCTTGGGTAGACGCAGGGTACGTGTCAGAGTAGGGGGACGAGTCAGAACCGTTCGTAACACAAAGAGGCAGGTTAGCGTCAAAGTCCTAGGTCGCTGGAGAAAGCTCAGACCCCGCTACGGAAAACTTACTATCCGCTACCAAAAGCGAAACCGACCGCTGCGCCTCATAGGCGGAAGAATAAGGTGGCTTTGGAGAAAACGCTGGAGAAGACTACCCGGACGCCGCCGACGCGGAAAGCGACTTAACCGACGGCGAAGGAGAAGAAGGCTACGAAGAAGGTATAAGAGACTCAGAAGAAGGAGACGACGGCGACGAAGAAGGAGGCAGAGGCGCCGTAAGAAGAGAAGAAGGCGACGAAGAAGGCAAAGGAGAAGACGTAGACGAAGAAGGCGAAGACGACGAAGAAGGAGACGCCGTCGATGTGTAATGCGATTCCGTTACCGTCGTAGATGGAGGAAAGTGTATCGCATCAGGCGCAGACTCGTCATCCGGGGGAGAAAGCGGTTTATAAGAATCAGGTGAGAAAATACTTAAAACGATTGTCTTTTTTTACAGTTATTTGTTTAGGGATCAGTTTTGCTCCCTGGGTGCCATAAACCCTGTGTGAGGAAGGCTGTTATCTTAGAAGGCATTTATTAAGCATACTGTACCTGTGAGAGTTGCATCTGTCTACACTTGGTTTACGTAATCTCAGCCAACAGCATCAACGTATACGTACATTTTGAATTCAAATTATCTGGAGAATGCATGGTGTGAGTTAATTCATATTACTGAAGCTTCAAAGCCGAAGCGCTGACCGTCGAAAACGAGTGAAAATTCCCAAAAATGAATAATTTTCTTCACTAATTGTCTTCTAGACAAGTAAACGTATCCTTCGCCAATAATTGGTAATTGTTGGATTCGGCTTTCGTATGATTTGAAGACAGATTATTGAGATAAAACCTGGGCAAGGCTCCTGCTTAGCTAGCCTCGCTAGTCTTTTTATGCATACAGCACTCTTAAGAGCCAAACAAGGAAAATGCAAAGATCACACAATTTGGTAGCCCTTCGAAAATATTTCTCCGTATTCTGTGGTTACTCAAACGTACACAGATCAAATTCCATTTAAATGGAAGGGTGGATGTACAAAAACAAAAACGTAGAAATGCGGGCCAGTAAAATTTCTGTCTTTCCTTTTGTCGTTTGTCGTTGGCATTTTACATTTCTTTTGTTTTCTTAACAGTTGCGGTAGAAGAGGAATAAGGATTTTCGGAAGAAGAAGACGAATTATTCGCCGTCCTAGAATAAAGGTTAAAGTTGGTCGTATGTGGAGAAACGTGCGTAAATATCGTGGTAGGCTAACTATAATTTTCAAGCGAAGACGAACTCGGCTGGTTATCCGACGTGGTCGATTCTATCGAAAATCTGGCCGAAGGATAAGAAGATTGAGAACTCGAAGTCGACGCTATAGGCGAGGACGATTACGGCGAAAACGAAGGAGGCAGCGACGAAGACGCCGACGAAGGCGCCGACGAAAACGAAGAAGAAGGATAACAAGGAGAAGGAGGAGACGAAGAAGAAGAAGGCGCGTGATACGGCGCAGACGCAGAAACCGAAGGCGTCGCTGTGTGATGCGTGTTCGATACAGACGACGCTGGAGATGGGTGTACCGTAGAGGAAACAGCTTTGTCTTCAAATACAAGCGAAAACGACGATACGTTAGGTAGATACACCTTCCGGGAGGCGGGGGGGGGGGGGGGGGGGGGGGGGGGGGGGGGGGGTTACTCCCATAACTTTTGGATAGGTCTTTGCCGCCAACCCTAGCCCTGTTTAAGGCCCAAAACCTAAAAATATGACCCAATACAAGGGAAAAACGAATAGTAAGAATTGAATGGGTACACGCAAATCTTTCTTAAATCGCTTTCCTTATACACTAAGGTAAATTCCAGTTTTAATAGATGACTTTTTCTCCTGTAGCTGGGCATTTGCGCACTTGAATTTTAGCTGATATATATAACGGCACCCTATCTAAGGATCAAATCGGGAACACAGTGCTAACAAGGGGGAAAATAATTCTATTTAAGGTGAAGACTCTCAAAAACCATACCCTATCGGGCGTATATCAAGCATAACAAAACGAAGGTGGTTTGTATCAAAGCAAGGGTAAGCTCAGCCTCACATTCACTCGCAGACTAGGGTACTAAGCCCATAACTGTAAAATGATCTATTTCAAGTCAGTTGCAGTGTTTGCTGGAGAAAGAAAAACTAGTTGTAGTAAAAATTAATCGTTTGAAAAATGCAGGTTTTCAGAGTAGTAGTAACCAAAGATGTGACGGTGCTTTTTTTTTTTTCACTTTTGCAATCAATAGATACAGAAGAGGCAGACTGTCAATCAAGGGATTAAGGAAGTGGTTCCCTATACGAAAACCGCAAAGGAACGTTCGAGTGTACGTGAAGAGAAGATGGTGTCGATTAAGATTGTTCAAGAAACGTATCTACCTGCGCGTCAAAGGTAAAAACCGGAGATTGTCGTTCAGAGGGGGAAGATTGCGTTATCGTTTGAAGCGACAATGGAGGAGAATTATTAGACGAAAGCGGCGACGATATAGAGGTCGACGAGGAAAATTAAGAAAGAGGCGAAGACAGAGACGGCGAAGAAAGACGAGGCGAAGGCGGCGTTTGAGGCGTATTATGCGAAGACGAAGACGACGTCGTCGTCGATGCGTTATGCGAATCAGGTGGAGGCGGCGTTGGAGATCACTGTACCGAAAAGGAAAATACCTTCGATTCCGATACAAGCGAAGAAATGTCAAACTGAGGTATTGATATTTGTGTGTGCTATTCACTGTCCAGCATGATTATCAAATACAGCATAGGCAAAGGTGGCATAATTATCAAGTACAATGAAACCTAAGCGATCACCCAAAATGCGAGGATTTAGTGGTCGCCTTCAAGGTTCAATCCACAGAGGGCCTCTTGCGAATAGGGGCTCGGACACATCTACGTTTTTTAAAAGAATTATTGCATACAATTTACGATATGTGAAGTTCCATGTCGTCCTTAAAAGTTTTCCGGATATTCCAAATTGCGTGTTATAAACAGCGAACATAAAGATCATACGGTGTTTTTTAGTAGTGGTTGTGGTCGCTTACAAGAGGTGGTCTTTTATGAGAGGTTAAAATAATAGGGATTTGACTGGTAAGATTTTACTGATAGAGGTTCTACTGTACTTGCAAGCACTAAAAGATTTTAGAGGCAAAATTACCTTTGCAGTAGCCATGATTCAGATAATGCAATGCTAGCAAACTTTTAGCAGGAGCCCATGGGTCTCTCTCCATACCCATAAAATTCAGGAGGTCCTGTCTTGTCATTTCCGGGCTCTCACCCCCTGTCCCCCTCCCCACATCCTAATGCAGCTGTACTCTCTTTTAACAGATTTATCCGCGGAAAATTCAGAGTTGGTAGCCGAGTCTTGAGAGGTGCAAGAGTCCGCGTCTTATATGCTAAGACGTGGCGCCGAGTAAGTTTCCGCAGACGACAAACATTCGTCCGTGTTGGCCGAAAGTTTAGAAGAATAATACTGCGCTACGGAAGAATTAAAGTCAGACGTTATGGTCGGTGGAGGACAGTGAGAAGGAGATATGGGCGAAGAAGGAGAAGGGTAAAACGAATCAGAAGACGGCACAGAAGACGAAGACGCCGAAGGAAAAGGAGAAGAAGACAAAGGCGAAGAAGACGAAGACGACGGCGGCGCAGAAAACGGAGAAGGATCATAAGGCGTCGTACGCGAAGGCGCAGACGAAGAACAAGGACCAGACAGCGGCTAAGACGAGGAAGGCGATATAGAAGGCGAAGAAGAAGACGACGATTGAGAAGAAAACGGAGAGTAATCCGACGAAGAAGAAGAAGGAGAAGAAGGAGACTCCGAAGGCAGAGACGGTACCGACGCAAGATTAGGCGCATACGTCGTCGACAACGGCGCAGTCGCATACGCTTCCGTTTTAGAGGCCGCTGGTGTAGAGTGATATCACGCCGCCGCAAATATCTTTTCTTGTACAAGAGAAAGGCACGACGAATAAGGTACTAATTGACCGTTTGAGCTTTCACTTAGCCTACACTTAGATCAATAATGGGTCAATTAGATGGAAAACGTCCTTCAAAGAAGAAGTTAGGTACCACTCGGCAAAGTAGCGCTCACTAGTTTTTGTCGCAAGATATCCACACACCAGTTTTCCAGGGCTTTATATACACACTTTCGTTTTAATCACATACGATTGAGTTTAACCACCTACAGTGTATCAAAGCGTGACATGTTCTTTAAGTTGCAGTGGGTGGGATACGCAATCATATGTAAGAAAAATCTGCGCAGAAATAAATCGAATTGTGTTTTTCAATATAAGTTAATGTTTAAGTTAGAATAACTCTGTAGTATTCATAAAATGGACGCCGGTTTGAAAGAAGTCATGCAAGAAAAGCGTGCGTTATGCGCCATGAACCCACATAACAATCTTTCAGCTTTTTTACCAATTTTTTTTTCGATAATCTGGCCGGAAAACCTGACGGAAGTGGATAATTGTATAGAAATTTATAAGAATCAGCCATAAAACGTCTGTCGCACTAAAGTATAGGATTGTCATGTTTTATATCATTCTTGGTACTGAAAGACGCGAAGGTAAAGGCAAGGTATGAATTATCTTACTGCGGACTTTTCGCGTAGGACTGGGACCTTAAAATCAGACAATGTTAACAGAAATAGCTGTATAATTATATTAAGCTTTTAAAAAAGTGGAATTAAATTTACCCATTGCATATGTACCCATCACCTAGATTTCTGGGATCAAGTTTGCTCGACTCTTTGCTCTTCTTTATCTACATAAGGAAGTAGATAAAACAGTTATTGTCTCTTTGTACCTGCAGATTCCGCAAAGGTAGAGTGTATATGAGGAGGAGGAGAACTTGGCGAAAGGTGCCTCGTGGAATTAGGCGGTTAAAGATCAGGGTGAATAAATCATGGCGAACGATAGGTGGTAGGCGATGGAGGATACGGTTTAGAGGAAGACGTTGTCGGCTCAGATTACGACGCGGAAGAGTTTACCTCAAATGGGGGAAACGAAGATGGAAGCAATTGAGAAGACGTTCACGCCGGGGACGAAGATACAGACGCAGAGGTGTTAGACGTCTTCGTAGAAAGCGGAGGAGACGAAGGATCATACGAAGGCGAAGATACAAACGCAAACAGCGAAGACGGCGACGACGAAGAAGAAGGCGTAGACGACGACGAAGGCGAAGGAGGAGACGGCGACGAAGAAGACGACGACGCCGTTGCAGGATACGTATATATTACAAGAGGTGGCGTTATGTGACAAGGAGGAGAAGGCGACTTGCAGTTCGCATCAGGAGACGATCTTACAGAGTCAGGTTGGGAATATAATATTTAATGTATTGATTGTGTGTCGCTGTTCGTGTCCATAACGCAATTTGCAATGGATATGGATTGTCTCTCACTTTTGATAGTGTATTGTTTCTTTAACCTACTTGCAAAAGAACGCAACATGTAACATCCAACAATGTTGGGAGTTGTTGGCCAACAATGTTGCATCCGTTTCCACAGGGATTTAGGTTGCACTGAAAAATGGGTGGAAAGTGCATTACCATTGTGCGTTACCTGTATTGCGTATAGCTCTTAATTCAACGTATAGGTCAGATAATTTACAAATTTTGCTCTAAAAGCTGATACATAAATAGCTTTATGTCAAATCTTATCATTAAAAAAAAAACAAGTTAAAAGATGTTTGGAATAGGCTCAGTGTCAATTATTCCTGAGTTGTTATATGTTATTGGTAAGGTATTTCCAACCGTCATCCAAAAACAACACCAAGCATACCAAGTGAGACTCTGTCTTTGAAAATTTTTTTAACTGTACAATCCGGAGTTAAAAATACAATATTTTAGTTTGTACTAGGAAATTAATTGATTTGCTTTTACACATATGTACTTGTTTTAGGGTCATGCGACGTCGAATAATGCTGTATCGTGGGCGACAGAGGATTACCATACGCCGGGTGCAAACTAAGTTACGTCGCATGTGGCGAACAGTTCGTGTGACGCGTCGCGGGTATCGTCTTCGTTACAAGGGCAAAAACAGGACCATCAGGATATACAGGACTGGAAGCGTTAAGGTACGGTTTAGAGCAAGATGGTTACGATTTGGGCGCAAGAGGATGTCCAGGCGAACTCGACGACGAAGACGAAGAAGGAGGCGCCTGCGAAGGCGAAAGAGAAGAAGGAGAAGACGACGAAGACGAAGAAGAAGATCGAAAAGGAGACGAAGGAAAAAGAGAATACGTAGGAGAAGGCGTAGACGGAGACGGCGAAGTAGGCGACGAAGGAGAAGACGAAGGCGCTACCTGCCCCGTAGAAAACGAAAAAGAAGAGGTCGCAGGAGACGCCGATGTGTGATGAAGTTCCGTTACATGCTACGATGGCGAAAGGTATACCGCACTAGAAGAGGAGGTTTCAGGTTCCGTTATGGAAGAAAGAAGATTCGCTTAAGGTAAATCTAGTACTACTCTCAATTACCTTTGACATGTGCGTCGTTGTAAATAACACTTACAAAACGGACACGACTAATTATAACAATTTACAAATTAATGAACGGTTATACATAATGATACATTAATGCATCTGCATTACAGGGCTGTTGGTATTATGGGGGTTGAGTGTGATAGCTTTGGGTCGAAGGGCAGTGTCCCTAATAGAGTGGTATCCCTGTGTCGGCACGGAAATCAGGGCGTCTATTCACACGCATGAACGGTGATTTCGGTGCGATTTCTGTAACATAGCGAAACTGCGCCGCGCCGATCTCTAAAGCGCACACGAAAGGCAATCTGGTATAGTGTGAAAATAGCCTTCGGTGAGCTTGAACTGCACGTGACCCAATACGCAATTTCAATGTTTTAAGTTGTCCTACTTTCAATATTCACCAGGATTTACAGAAGGCGTGTCTTAGTCAGACGTAGAGGAAAATGGAGAAGAGTGCAACAAAAGAACAGAATTAAGCTCTACATGAGGTACAAATGGAGACGCACGCGATATACTCGAAGGGGACTGACTATCCGTTACGGTCGACGTCGTTTGAGAGTGCGAATACGCCGCCGAGTTTCCGTTCGCTACAGAAATAAATGGAAAACTCTCAGACGACGAAAATCACGCTGGAGACGCAGAAGAGGGCGACGAGTAGGACGACGTTACCGGCGAAGAAGGCGAATTTCGCGGAGGCGTCGTAGAAGACGATACAGAAGAATAAGACGGGCACGAAGAAGGCGTAAACGAGTTCGCAGACGAAGAAGGTACAGAAGGGTAAGGAGAAAAAGACGAAAGGTCAGAAGAAGACGGCGAATAAGGAGAAGAAGGAGAAGACGACGACGAGGGAGAAGACGCAGAACACGAAGACGAAGGCGCCGAATACGACGGCGACAGCGTTACAGTGTTATGAAAATCAAATACAGAAGAGTATGGAAGAGGGTGTTCCGATGGCGTCGCAGATTGTTCTTCCGGTTTAATAAGAAGATTCGGCGAATAAGGTATGGAGGATGGCTAATGTACGACCTTTGTAGGATAATCAAATAAGCGCTTACAAGAACACCAACGGAGTAAAAAGAAATTCACAAAGTTCTCTCAGTCAATTTCTTACAGTTACAAAGCAACCCTCCCCTTATCATACTATTTTTGAAGAGTTGGGGACGTTTTTACTTTGTACCCATCTATCGCGTGTCAAACGAAAGAAATTTTTAAAGTACTTCGAAGGTTGTTACTCTCAGTGTTGACATACACTAATACGCTGTTAATTTACTAAAATTTTTATAAGTTTACGAAAAAAGATCAAAGTATTTGAAGTCAAACTGGTGTTATGGTCGGCGCCATTTTTGCTGGCACAAGATTACTCGGGCCCGAGGTGTTTTCGAAAAATCAGAAAATTGTGGACATAAATGTCGAGAAGTGGACTGAAAAAGTAACAGTAGTAAAAGTGACCTTCCTCGTACCAGGGCGCCTTTTGAGATTTTCTGCGGTAGTCGAGGCGCAAGGATCATGGGAAAGCTTAAAAAACGCAAAGGCATAAAGGAAGGCTACCCCTTAAGCAGCCACTACCGCAGAAATCCCATGAAGCGGCTGGGCACGAGGCAGAAAAGTAACAGTGTCTTCTTATTCCTGCAGGTGTACAAGAGGCAGAGTTTATGTACGACGTCGCAGAAGATGGGTGTCATTACGAAAACCCAACACGAGAATTCTACTTCGAGTAGGTAACAGATGGAGGAAAGTGGTTCGGTACAAGCGGGTATTCCGTGTGCGTTATGGCAGGAGAAAATGTAGAATAAGGATAAGTCGAGGAAGAATTAGATTAAGATATAAGCGAAGTTGGAAGCGAGTTGTGAGGCGAAAGCGCGGATATCGCAGGAGAAGAAGAAGACGAATTAGGCGAAGACGAAGGCGGCGACGCAGGAGAGCACGAAGAGTACGCAGGCGAAGAAAACGACGGCGACGAAGAATAAGAAGGAGGATGACAAGACGGAAGCGAAGACGAAGGCGAAAATTGCGGCGAATCAAAAGACGCAGAAGATATCGACGACGAAGAAGGACAAGCAGGCGACGATTGCGGCGCCGTAGAATAACTCGATATCGGTTAAGATTCAAATACAGAGGAAAATACAGGAGAGTTTTCAGACGAAAAGGATACCTAAATATCCGCTTCAGGAGGAGAGTCAGAAGAATAAGGTAAGTGTGGTTGTCCTGCAGTTTCCTATCAGATTCTAAGACGAGTAGGACGACGAGGACGAGATTTCCTAAATACTAAGTAGTGCGCGCGCGTGAACCGGGGTCATTTTGGCGGGAAAACTCGGTAGCCGTCGTCATTCTACTACGAGTTTTAGCGCGAATGTCGTGGTAGCAAAAACAAGATATCAAATGCTAGAAGTTTTATCATTTTGTGATCGAGAGAAGGTTTAAACTCCGTCAACATACATAACAGTGCTATCTTTTGTAATGAAAAAAGTACAATCAAGCTTTCGGTGTCTGTTTTTGGAGAATACGCGAAAAAACTTTAAGTTAAATCTCATACTCGTAGTCGTTCTCGTCCTCGAACCTAAAGGTCTCTATTTTTCTAAGGGATGTAAAGTCAAATGAGTGTTTTCGGGCATTATTTGGTGCACCTTAGCTGTAGAATTGAAAGGCGAAACGACTGCTGCTTCTGTAAATATCACACATTGCCGTTCTAAACTAGGACGGCTAAAATGCACGAATTTCCACATTAGTCGGTTTCTTCGGTTCTATCAAATCCTACGAATGAATGATGATGAACGAGAAGTTTTTAGCTTCGTACTGCTCCACGCTACGCCATGTGCAGTAAGAAGAGAAGCCAGCAAGCCCAACTCAGTGCTGGTAAATTATCAATGCAGTAAGTAATTTCTATCACAAACTGAGCGCTCTTAGTTTGTGATATACTTGAAAGATATAATATCAAGTTTACGGCAATTTAAGTGGACGATTTCTAAATATAGGAAATAAACAGATAAAAACTGTGCAACTTATTCTCATTGATGAAACTGGTGTGAAAACTACTAATTGTTTTGTAGATATATTACATTATGTAAACAGTAAGCGATAGGTAAAGAGAGACGCGGTCATGTAGCACTAACCATGCGGGTTTCTAAGGAGAGAATGGTTGTGGCTTTTCAAGGAGGAAAAATACTGTCAAAGAGAGAGCCTGCATCTTTGCCGGATTTGTCAGCAATTTAATGTATTCAGGGACAATAACAATCTGCAATATAAATAGGAAAGATTTTTAAATATAGCTACACCATTCTCCGCCTTAATGTACGGGCTGCTTTTGCTAGATTTAGTTGGAATACTGAAACGATTGCTGTGGCTTATGTTATGGTATTAGGCTTTGTTCACATTATACCGTATCTTGTGACGGAACGGAAACCAGACCTGTTTGGGCCTCTGTTCACACACAAAATCGGTGATTTCGGCGCGATTTCTGTAACGGAGAGCAGCGGCGCCGCGCCTCTCGGCCAACCGCACGTAGTTCGATGTATGTAAACGGCTTGTTTCAGTTCTGGGCCATTGCTGCTCGTACTACAGTCAACTCTCTCTAAGGCGGACACCTTTGGGACCGGCACTAAGTGTCCGTCTTAGAGAAGTGTCCGTCTTATAGAGAGTCAAATAAAAGGAGTACAGTCAACTCTCTCTAAGACGGACGCCTTTGGGACCGGTACTAAGTGTCCGTCTTAGAGAGGTGTCCGTCTCATAGAGAGTCAAATAAAAGGAGTACAGTCAACTCTCTCTAAGACGGACACCTCTGGGCCCGGCACTAAGTGTCCGTCTTAGAGAGGTGTTCGTCTTATAGAGAGTCAAATAAAAGGAGTAAAGAAAGGGAGGGACTAACTCTAAGTGTCCGTTTTACAGAGGTGTCTTTTAAGAGAGAGTCGGCTGTATACCTGATACAGGTAAAATGTGAACAACGCCTTCAAGTGTGAGTGATGCTGCTTATATAATGTATTTGTTGATTTAAAGATGTCGTCGTGGTCGCTGGAGTATCAGACGCAAGCGAAGATGGTTCGGGTTGAAGACACGTCGAGTCCGTCTGCGAGTCAGGTTCGGACGCAAGGGAGTCTGGAGGCGTGTTGTCTACAGGAGGCGAAAATTAGTGGTACGATACAAGCGGGGTTACAGAAAGGTGTCCATCCGCCGAGGGCAATTTAGGCTGCGGTACAGAAGGCGAACGCGTCGAAGAAGGAGAAGACGAAGAAGACGGTTTGGATTGAGAAGGAGAGGAAGAAGACGACGACGTAGATATGGAGTAAGACGAAGGAGGAGAAGAAGATTAAACCGAAAACGAAGACGTTTGCAACGAAGAAGACGACGGCTGCGTTACAGGCGAAGAAAGCGACGCCGTAAACTAAGGCGAAAAAGGAGAAGAAACAGAAGACGGCGACGAAGAAGAAGGAGGAGGAGAAGGAGGAGGAGAAGGAGAAGGCGACGAACTCGAAGACTGAGAAGAAGACTGCGTCGAAGCGTTTTGCGTGTCTATTACTTAAGAAGGTGGAGGCTTGTTACAAGACGGCGCAATAGGTTAACAATTCGAATCAGACGAAAACCTCGTATAATAAGGTAAAGTAAGCAATAGTTAAGGCCTGTTTGTTTGAAAGAGGAACTTGCCATCTTTTAGTTTAAAGGTAAAGTAAAAGGTAGGGGTACAAACAAGTTAAAGGCCCAAACGCACCGGAGCTTATCCCTTCTTCTTTAGCATGAAGAGTGCCTAGGAATATTGCTACTCCCCCTTGAACAGCAGGCGCGGATCTAGGATAAATACTGACCAAGTTCCTAAACAAGGGGCCGAGGGAGCAAACTTCTAGGGGAGCCCGGGGTCATGCAGCCCTGGGAAGTTTTTTGGATTCTAACTCCCTAAAGTTCTCTTTCCCGGGTTTCTGATTCATTGAGGGGGCATCTAATGCCCGGAAATTGGAAAAGAAAACGTTTGTCCAGACCATTTTCCAGATTTCAACTTGAAAAGTTCTATTAATTATTAAAAATATGTTTGTTATGAAAAATCTAACCGATTTCCGTAAAACGATGGAAACCGGTGTGGATCCTCGCCTGGACAGGATGATGGCCATCGCAGGGTTACCGCCCAGCAGTATGTCACCGGTACTCATTTACACACCTGGATGAATTGAGACAAAGTGGAGTAAAGTTCTTTGTCTAGGGCGATGCTTGGACCCCGGAATTTTAGACCGCACGGCCACACACGCCTCCACGGGGTTTAATGAAAGACGGTCATCTGTCGTTTGATTTGAATAAAAAACAACTGTTTACTTTTATTTCTGCCCCTAAGGTCAGCGCCTCCCAAGAATAGAAAGACGATAATTGTTGACCGAACTGAAGCACACAGAGTTTCTGTGTTTATTTATAACATCTCAGAATACAAGGTTGACTCTAATCCAAGACATGAGAGGCTGCAGCTTTAAGCAAATTATTTTTCTTTTGTGGCTGTATGGCTAATTTGTCGAAAAGTACTTTCGTTAGTTAAATGTGGGGGAGGTTATCACGGTTAAAGATACAACTTATGCAGAAGCGAAAAGAGAGCCTGATAAAATTCAGGCTTCCCGGCAGGGTCGAACCATGACCTCTGAGGTACCGGTGTGAGCGCTCTAACCAATTGAGCGAGCAAGCCAAATAGGAGCTACCTAGTTCGCAATATACCCAGGAAAAATGAAGATGAAATAATGAATATGTGGATTACATATATTTCTTTTCGAAGCTGCATAAATTGAGCCTTTCACTGCGATATCGTTATACATATTTCTTCATCCCGCAGTTCCAAAAAAAATGACAATTCATAGTCATTTTTCAGTACTTACTTTCTTAACAAGACCCGTAGAAAAAGCTGTTTGCCATCTTTTGTTTTACATTCTTAGGTGTTCGTTTGGAAGAATTAGGATAAAGCGAGGACGAAGATGGACAACTCTTCGAGGACCGAACAGACGTCTTCGGGTAAGATATGGAAGCAAATGGCGAAGAGTGACTGTAACAGGAAGACGATTCCGCCTTCGGTATGGCCGCAGAACACTCTTGTTACGCTTTAGAAAGGGAATGGTGAGAATATACAGAAATCGACGTTGGTACCAAGTGCGACGCCGACGACGAAAGGTTTCATGGCGCAGAAGACGGCGACGAAGACGAAGGAGGATGCGACGCCAAAAGAGGAGGCAAAAGCGACGGAAAAGACAGCGACGGAGAAGACAAAGAAGACGACGAAGAAGAAGGTACAGAAGGCTGAAGAGACGTAGGAGAAAGCGAAGACGTAGAAGACGCTTTAGAAGACGAAGAATTGGCAGGCGGCGGAAACGCCCAAGCTCGCTTTGGTTGAATTACAGGAGGAAATGGAGGAGAACGTATCGAATAGGACGTCAATTGGTCATGCGATACCGAAAAAGGATCAGAGTAATAAGGTACTGTATCGATCACTTTTACGTTATTTTTAACCTATTTACACCTATCTTAGAATTCAGTCTTTGAGAATACCGGGACACTAGCGTCGCAGTGTTACGGTTTACCGTGTTTTAAGTGTGCTTTATTCATAAGCTCTCACTGATACTGGAGTCTCTCCCAAATTTTGCTGGGTTATTAGTCGTTTTTTAATCATTAACATGTTGCTCAACATGGCAGCGTACAGAGCTTTTTCGATTCTTTCTTTTGCATTGAGAGTTTTGTTATAGCCAACCTTTTGAAAGCCGTAGAAAGTTTTGAGTAGTTTTGTTGTGTTTTGTTTTTTACAAGACTGCTTTGTAAACCCATGTAACTAAGGCTTCTGTTCAAAGCCAACAATGAGTGAATGATGCGTTTTAACTCGCTTCTGTTTATATTGCAGGTGTCGCCGTGGAGTTTTCAGAATGCATTACAAACGAAAATGGTACAAGATGCGCGGAACTCGAATTCAAGTACTTTACCGCGGTACTCGGAAAACAGTGAGAAGATACGGGAAAAGGCTGATTTTTGTTGTTAGAGGCACGAGGAAACAGCTTAGAATCCGCGGCGGTCGCGTTAGACTTCTTATTCTCGCACATTACACATCGTTGCGAAAGAAACCAAAGAGAAGACCTGCTAGGAGACGAAGACGAAGACGAAGAAGACGTTATGGCAGAAGAGGTCGACGTAGGAGAAGACGCTGGCGAACACGTTTGCGTCGCCGTCGACGTAGGCGTAGACGTCGTTACAGACGCCGACGTAGGCGAGCCGTCCTTCGCTTCAGATTCGGCGGACGTTGGAGGTCGATCATCCGATGGCGCGGTGGATATCGAATGCGTTACAAAAAACGATGGATAAAGTTCCGGTAAGTTGCATATCGTGAAATTAAGAAGTTTAATTTTCAAAAGCAATTTTTTTAATGAAACTAAATTTATTTTTGAAAGATCTCTTTGCGGCTATTTGCTTTTCTGTAAAAGCACGAGATGCAAAACTGATACTGTAATAAGCGTTTTCCTGAAAAAGCCAGTTATGAAACTCAAAGTTGTTAGGGACACAATAGTTCATACAGCAACAGCGTATCCGTTTCACTAGCAAAAACGAAACTAAACCTCAGGTCACTTCCTTCTGGCAGCCAGCGCCGCGATCCTTGTTCTGGGTGCCCGATGGGGACCACGATTTGAGTACGTGCCATGATTGGCCCATTAAAAAGCCATTGTTGATTTGCCAGTCATAATGAAATTCGAAACGCACTTCCGGTGATTCGTTGAATCCGTTGGGGGCTCAGAACAAGGACCTCTGCGTCACTTTGCAGACGTTACTTGCCGGGGTTTGAATACTTCTGCGACGCAGGCTAAGTAGCAAGAAGCGCTGGGGACTGGAGTAATATTCCCTTGGGAAATGATGCTAGTATATCGCAGGGTTATCCGGAGTAGTAAGTCAACCGGCAGTACACATTTATATAGCTGACAGCGCAATCGACCAGGTAAATTGTCATCCAGAAGATAAGTGCAAGGCAAGTAATAAGGTGACGGCCCACTAAAACATTTTTGGGGGGAGGTAAAGGACATTAAAGAGGACATGTAAGAGAAAATACTACATATTATTATACTTTGATAAACTCATTATCTGTCTTCTCATTGGCTAAGAGCCTAAAGCCAATTTTGGAAATCAGCGCAATTTACAGATTAGTTAGTTATCTGCTAGTAGATAATTGACTAATCTGTAGGTTGTGCACGCAATGCATGACTCCCAATAACAATATCAATTCAGGTTCCTTGCGATGGTGTGCTTATCGTTATTTTCTTCAAAACAATGTCTAATAAAGCAATTATTAGATTCGGTTTTTGCGATCCTCTAATAATCAAGGTCTCGGTAAGTGTTATCAGCCGAGCCCAACCCTGATTATTCCGGATTCCACAAAAACCTCATTCAATAGTTGTTTAGTATTCGCACACGACATTTTGACGAAAAAAGTCATGCAAGAGAAATGTTAACAGAAAAAAATTCATTAGCATCGAAAATTCCCAATCATTGAAAACCTGAGGCGTGGGTGGACAGAGATGTGTATGGAGAAAATCAATTGGTGGCAAGGCTTGAGCTGAAATTAATTCATGGGTCGAACCCAAATTAGATATGTCGGACTTAATTGATTCAAACGTCGATCTTCTCCTGTACTTAATTGAAGGGATTAGGTTCGGTACGTAAAACGTTCGTCGTTTGAACTGGGGCTAGTCTAGTTTTCGGAGGATTTGGTCATTTCCAGTGATTCTAGGTGAAAAATACATTTATTGAATGTGTGTTACACGATTATACTTCTTCAAGCAACCGTTGATCTGATTCAAGGTTTTTTAATTATTTCAAACAGATATCGAAGAGGCAGAAACATCAGGATAACGTACAATGGGAAGCGGCGCATAATACGGCGAATCACAAGGCGTTTCAAAGTTCGCATAGGTTACAAACGCTGGACGTTCATCAGAAGACGTCGCGGCAGGCTTGTGGTGCGTTGCAGAGGACGTTACAGACGTTTTAGGATAGGAAGACGAATCAGGGTACGATACCGTAAAGGCTGGAGAATTGTCTGGAGAAAACCGCGAGGGCGACGAGGCCGACGAAGATGGAGACGAAGAAGGCGTCGCAGACGAAGGCGGCGAATTAGACGGCGACGTCGAAGATACCGAAGACGCGTGCGTAGGCGAAGACGACTAAATATTCTTCGATTTAAGTATGGTAGAAAATGGATCTCCGTTTACCGACGAGGAAGATATCTAAGATGTCGAATCAAGCGAAGATGGAGACGAATAAGGTATGTCAGTAAAGATACCGTAAAATTCCGAAAATAAGCCCCTCGAAATATAAGCCCCCCAAACTCGTTACGCAAAAACCCTCCGTTCAATTGCCCCTCCAAATATAAGAACCCCGGGGGGCTTATAATTGGAAATTGCCCTCAAATACAAAGTAAAACAAAGAAAAACGGCAAATTTTCTTCCAACAATAAGGCAAGCCCAATCTCTTGTGAAACGCAAATTTCCTTCCGTACATAAACCCTTCCGAATATAAGCCCCTCATAAAGGGCCTTTGAAAAATATAAGCCTCGGGGCTTATTTTCGAAATTTTACGGTAGTGCTAAATGATTTAAACGGCTTTTAGCGGTTTCTAGAAAGCCAACTAAGCGCATTTATGACTAATTATAGTTTCTAGATACTTGCAAAACTATCTTCATCATCCAGACTTGATTCCACTCAAACCGTAAGCTAGGTGTAACATTCTAATACTAATAATAAAGTAGCCATTATAAAACTAAGAGTGCAACCATTGCTTTTTTTTTCTTCTCCTCCTTTCCTTCTCCTCGCTCTTTCTTTTTCTCCTTTTCTTTTCCTTCGTTACTGTGGAGCTTCTCAGGCTTCTTAATTTTTATGACGGAGCTAATGGATTGTTGATTACCAGAAAAGTAAATGAACTTTTTATTCATTCACAATTATATTATTAACTGATTACAAAATTTTATACATGTATAGTTTAGTACAGTATGTTCTTATTACACTTAAATTTACAACTCAAAGTTACACTTCTTTTGTTAAATTGTTTATCATAATTTACCTCTAACTCACATATATGAACCTCCTTGATCTTGCTTGGCTAAACTGGTTCTTGTATGTTTGGGTATTAAGGTGGCAAATTTGTGCGAGGAGGCTCTTAATCCAGTTTCTTATTACCAGGAGTGACGGAGATATGTCGTCTGCTCCTTTCTCCCATTTGAGCCGCCCTTTTCCTTTGAAACGCTGGGGCAGGATATTTCTGTCTCAACATTTCGAAGAAATTAAAATCATTCCATATTTCTAAAGTTGTGATTTTCAGTTGTCAAAGTCCGCGTAATACTTTGAAACACTCACAAAGCGGTTACGTCTATTGTGCTCAGCTACTCAACTGTGTCTCAACGCATTCTTTTAGGTACACACGAGGCAAGATTGGCATCCGGTTTGGAAGGCGCTACCGGTGGTTGAGGAGACGGCCTGTCCAATTCCGATTTGGACGGCGCTTTAGAACCATGCGTTACTATCGTGGTAAGCCCCGTATCCGGTTTAGGAAGAAGAGGAGACAGTTCCGATTCATAGGCGGAAGACTCAGAATTTTCTACCGAAAAACGTGGGTGAGACCAAAGTCCCGAAGGACGGCCCGCAGGAGACGACGAAGACGAACACGCAGAAGATTACGTCGAAGAAAGAGGCGTAGACGACGACGGCGTCGCCGAAGACGACGAGGAGGACGTCGCAGACGCGGTTGCGTCATGCGCGTGTACTTCAGGAGACGCTATAGAAATATCTATAGACGAAGAAGGCGACTCTTCCTTCGCTTCAAACGTGGTTATAGACTAGTCAGGTAAAAAAATATACCCTCTTGTAATTCTGGTGTAATAAGAGTTCAGGAAAGTAGGACGAAAATATTCTTATGCTCAGGGTAGCTTCTCACGATACGGATTGTCACTTTGTTATAGGCCAATTTTTGCTGACGTCATGGTGTACATTTTTCGGCTCATTAGCATTCGAGTTAGCCCAGAAGGCGTCACCGTCTGCACAAATTAAATCCAAAAGTTGAAAGAGTTGGTTAATTTGAACAATTTGTGTAATTTTCAGCTCATTGCAGGCAATAGCAAAGGAAATAGCAGCGATCGAAAACTGAGAAATTTTTGGGGTGGCAAAAACGTCAATGAGACATACATTTTTGGAAAGTGTTAAGTTTTTCAAAGATAATTTTTTCCGCACATCTTGCTCAAATTTTCACAGGTAACTGAAATTGTTCTTCTCTTTTGATATTCAGAGATTTTATTTTGATAGCTTGATCAGACAATGAAATGCATTTGCTAGTGAAGGAAAAAACGTAATCAACGATTCGCCTATTGATCGCGACGCTTTAGCTGTTAACTGCTGGTTTCATTAAGTGATGCGGACTTTATACTTCTGGGCCGAGTTGATCGAAAAGTGGATAACGCTATCCATCGTATAAATCTCTATCCAGTGGATAACGCAATTGATTTCCCTAATACTTATCCGCTGGATAGTGATTTATCCGGTAAATAGCGCTAACCAACGTTTGAACGACCGGAGCCTGGCCTCAGTTGTTCAATAGGTGGATAGCGCCATCCACCGGATAAATCTCTATCCGGTGGATAAGTATCACGGGAAACGATTGCGTTATTCGCTGGATAGTGATTTATCAGCTGGATAGCGCTATCCAACTTTTGAGTAACTGGGGCCAGATAAATCACTATCCAGTGAATAAATATTAGGGAAACCAATTGCGCTATCCAGTGGGTAGAGATTTATCCGGTGGATAACGCTATCCTCCTTTTTGAACAACTGGGACCTGGCCCTGGTTGTTCAAAAGATGGAAAGCGCTATCCATCGGATAAGTATTAGGAAAACCAATTGCGTTATCCACTGGATAAAGATTTATCCAGTGGATAACGCTATCCACCTTCTGAACAACTGGGACCTGTACTTTACTCTCTGATGGTCAGTTGACAGTATTTTGTAAACTATTGTGCGCGTGCATTTTTTGGCATGGTACAGCATGTTGCCTACAACATCAAGAATAATATCAAGAAGATATACCCAAGATATACAATCTTGGAAATTGCTTATAAAGACATATTGACATTCCAGTCCAAGCAGTATGTAGGATGTTTGTTACATGAACCTAGTTTAGTGGCCTTTGCTCCCATAAGTCTCCTGTACCTTAGTGGTAGAGCATCTGGACAAGTAACCAGAAGGTCTTTAGGTTTCTGGGAAACTGCTCACCTACCCGTTCCCTATGCCAACATTTTGCTCTAAACGAGAAGTAAGTGTTAATGTTGGCTTAGGGGAGGGGCTGGTGCGCAGTTTACCAGAAACCTAAACTCATCCGTTTCGACTCCTCTTGGGAGTTCTCGGATTGTTTCTTCTGAGTCGCTTGTGTCACCAACTAAAAACGCTGATGCTTAATGCGTGTCTTTTTGTGTGTGTTGGACTTGCAGATATCGCTCTGGTAGGGTATTGTTCTATTACAGACGAAAATGGAATCGGGTTATCCGTCTGCCCCAAGTCTTAGTCTTCAGACGATGGCGAACTACAAGGAGATACAAGGGCCGTACTAGCGTTCGTCTCGGCAACAGATACCGTCGAATTAGGTTAAGGCGCGGACGGTTCCTCTTCCGTCGAAATCGGAAGTGGAGGCGTCTTTCATACAGACCAAGGAGAGGACGCCGCCTACGACAAAGTCGGCGCCGTCGGCATAGACGCAAGCTTCGCCGCTACAGGCGAAAGCTGCGAAGGATTAGACGGCTCCAACGGCGAAAACGACGACGTCAAAGACGAACAAGGCGTTACAGGAGACGTACAAGCCCGCTTAAAGTTTATTACGGCAAGAAGACTAGGGTAATCTACCGGTGGAAGAGAAGGTTAACTTTACGCCTGGGAGGTCGGCGACGAATAATCAGGTAATAAAAAAACTGAGGTTTGGTTTTGTTGGTTATCTCGAAAAAGTTTTAAAGCGGCATAAAACGCGAACGCAACATGTTAAACTGCAACTTCCAACACCCGCGATCGTATTGTTGGTAGCTGTCAAGGCCCTCAAGTTGCAGAATTTTTCTATCGTTGAAGTGTAGCCCAAAAAATTTTGTTCCCGGGCATTTACATTGGGCATTATGTCCAAGGTTTTCAAGTTTCCTTTGCAAGTGATGTGTGTCCCATTTTATTTTAGAATGCGTTGCCACATCCGTAATGCCAAATAGTTAGACTAGTTTGAGCACTACCAAAAACGCTTCCCAACAGCTATCACACAATTTTTACCCCGTGATTGATCGATCCGTCATAAATCTACATGAAGTGACGTACTTTAATATTCTGCCTCTTAACGCTGTTGTCATCTGTCTCCTTGTCCGTTGCAATATACTGACTCTCCGAAAAATAACTGGATCAATTTAGGTTTCTAGGAAACTGCCCACCTACCCTTCTTCTAAGCCAACTTGAACACTTACTTCTCACTTAGGGTAAATGTTGACTCAGGGAGGGGTAGATGGGCAGTATCCCAGAAACTTAAATGTGCGTTGGATTGATTGTATTTCAGAATAAGAATACGCAAAAGTTTTGAAGACCAATCTCTTCTAGCGTGACTGATTTTTGGACCACTTGAACGCTACATTTATTGGAATATTTTATTTCAAGCAGATTCCTAGATTTTGCAATACAATGAATGCCAAAACATTAAGTGATTTCCAGAGTTTCTTCCATTTATCTTACTCTGGAATACAGTCAATCGAACATGCTGTAAGTAATATCTTCAATTAATATCTGATATCTTCAATTTTCTAATTTCGTCGCTTGTTTTTCTCTTTTTTCCGCTTCTCACGATAGGTTTAAATATGGCAAATTATACTACCGCTTCAGAAGAGCCTGGCGACGCATTGCCAACAAGAAATATCGCCTCTACACCCGTGTAGGACGAAAATGGAGAAGAATCATAAGACGTGGTAGAAGATCCGTTATTCGCGTCGGTAGAAGATACAACGTTATCCGTATAACTCGCACAACCGTGTCTTATCGTAAAGGCAAGCGATGGGTACGTGTAAGACGGCGAAAGGTCAGACGTACTAGAAGGCGCCGACGAAGACGGTTCAGAAGACGAAGGAGGTACAGTGTAATGCGGGTATATGTTACCAGACGGTGGAGGACAGTTTACAAGAGTCGTGGAACGTTCTATTTCCGCTATGGACGCAGACGTTGCAGCTTGAGGTACAATTAATATTCTTGAGACAACGACAGATTTAAATTTTTGCTTTGGTTTCCTTCTTTTTGTATCAGATGATTACTTAGTTAATGGCCTCTGTAACCTTAAAAGAACTTTGACAAAGCCGTGTTCAACAGAGAAAAAAATAAGAACACTGATGCCCTTTTAGCTTTACTTCTTCGAATTCCTCACTTTTGTTTGTCTTAGTCATTATAATGTCATGTTTTTCCTCACTATGACAAAATTGACAAACGACTAACGTTTGCAAGTAAGTCACTTTGACGTCATTAGTGCCCTGTGCCATTTCGATAAATTTGGAAACACGGCTCTTTTAAGATTTTGTCCAAACATTAACCACGAGCTGCTTTTTTCTAAAACAGAATCCGAAGAGGAGTAATCCGTTATCGCCTTAGACGAAGGTGGTTCAGAGTTCCATCAAGATGGCTTAAAGTTCGGGTAAAGAGACGGTATCGCCGAGTCAGACGAGTAGGTAGAACCCTGAGGTTCCGCTACCGTAGAAAGCTAACAAGACTTCGCTTCAGCTACGGCAGACTTCGATTCCTTTACCGAGGGAAGTGGAGACGTCCTTCTACGCGCCGTGGCCGTCGTATTAGGAGAAGGCGAAAACGCAGGAGGCGAAGGCGGTACTGGAGACGGTTCGGACGACGAAGACGCCGCCGTCGCCGCCGATATCGGCGACGAAACGGCAGCCTGACTATCAAATTCCGTAACAGGTTCAGACGAGTGTACAGGCGAAGAAGACGGTTCTGGTTCCGCGTCAAGGGCAGGAAGTATAGATTGAGGTGAGGCTATAGGACAATAACGAAAAAAAAACTTGTCATAAGCACTAAACGTTCATCTTGTCCTGCGCGCAGTAAACTAAATAGTAAACCAGAAAACCTCAAAGCAAATTCCACAAGTTTCCTGATTTGGGCAGTCGCTCAATTATCAACCGCCGTGAACGTTGTAGTCGACAACCTGTGCTCTTTTTAAGATTTTAGGCCTTGCAGAGGGTAGAGGTTATTAAAAAAACTTACAAACTCTGAAAAAATGAGGACACTTTTCCTTCTTTCTGAAATCGAGGCAAGATTTGAATAAATCGGCCATTTTTAAGAGGAGTGTCAGACTAGGTCGGAGTTGTGTGGAATTGTATTATGGGACATTCCAGTTTAGGGAGAGAAGACACCTTTAAATTCTGCGACAAGGGCGACTACGAGAATTAGATTTTCTTAATACTACTAAGTAGTGCGCGTCATTTTGGCTGGAAAACTCGATGCCATTGTCATTCTACGACGGATTTTAGCTAAAACTGTGGTCCTCGTCCTCGAGTCTAATGATCTCTGTTTTCGCTTTTTAAATTGGCTATGACGAAGTTGCGCGGGAAACTGGGACCCACTTTGTTACCCAAAACTGATCCATATTCGGCAAAAAACCGTCCCAGTCTCAAACGTCATTTTCTGTGCTGTGGGAAAGGAAGGGGATTGTGGGCAGGTCGGCCTCAAAAGAGACAAGGGTATGGTAATAATTTGAAGCTCTAGTGGTGAGAGCAGTCGGCATGTTTTCGCAACTGAATCGTAGTCAACAGTTACCAGCACCGCACAAGCGACTTATTGACGGAATCAAGCAAAGCTAACTACGAGTGAACGACTGGACAACTGACAATTTCACACACAATAAACGACTGTTTAACTATGACAATAGACGGATCGAAACGCACCAATGACATCACGAGTCTTCATAGCCAATAACATCACGGCTTAACTGACAGACGACCAATAACATCGCGACTTAATTGACAGACGATCAATAACATCGCGACTTAATTGACCAATCAGGTTAATAACCAGAGTTTAATACCATCAACTGACGTGATACAACTCTGTTTGACTCTGAAGATGACTACCGCACAGGTTGTCAAAACGTCAGTCACCGTCAAGAACAACAGTCCTATTCAGGACTACGTTCACCCGGACAATCATACTCAACCTACTTACAAAATTTAGTGTCCCTTTTGTAGAAGTAGCTGCTGTTTGACAGTGGCCGTTAGCGGAGGCTGGGCTGTGTGATAAGATTCTAACCCGTCGAAACTTGAACCACTGTCATTTCTGTTGTTTTGTGTGCCGCAAGAAGGTGATGAAGATTGGGGGTGGGCAGGGCTTAAAGGAGAATGTGCTATGGAAGTAATTTAGAGCGCTAGTTGGGAGAGCCCTTATATAAAAGGGCGATTACGATAGTTTATTTTAAATGAAAAGTTACACGAGGGTTATCGTGTGTTTCATTCTATTATGCGGCTTTCCCACACTCTGCCAACCTTAAAGCCACGTCTTACTTATGTATTTTTCTTATTTCTCAGAATCCGAGGAGGAAGAACGTATGTACGTTATCGAAAGGGACGTTGGCGACGACTAAGGCGTTTGGTCCGTCGTATGAAGATTATCATCCGCGGACGAGCACGCTGGATCTACCCGAAAAAAGGACGACTCGTGGTAAATTACAGACGCAAAGGTAGAGTACTCCGCTTCCTAAAAGGACGACCGAGGCTTTACTACCGAAAGAAATGGATCAAGTTCGGCCGAAGAAAGACCCAGGTGAAGTTGCGACTAAGGCTGGGAGGAAGATGGCATTATGTCATAAGAAAGCGCGGTAGATGGACCATCCGATATATGCGCAAGATACGAAGGGTCATACTGCGAGGTAGACGATTTGGAGTCCGCTTCAGAGGTCGCTGGAGATATGTGCCTTCCAGAGGTGGTACCTTGCAGATACGTTACGGAAAGATTTGGCGGCGCGTAAGAAACTGCTGTAACAAGCTGCGGGCTGTGTTACGCGGACGACTCCGAAGAATCCGGCTCCGTCGAGGACGAGCGAAGATGCGAGGAAGATATGGCTGGCGCAAAATTCGAAGGAAAACATCCAGGTTCCGCTTAATACGCATCAGAGGTCAGTTTTAGTATTAATTATTATTCACGAAGGATGGAGTGATTCCTTACTTAATTTACAAATTGTTGAGGGTGCGTGTGTGACTCTAGGACTGTTTCCATGATAACCTTCTTACAGGAAAAAAGCCTGGTCAAATAGTGTTTTCGCAACAATGCTTCCCAGTTGAGCCAGATTCTAACAGTTTCATTTAAGTCGCGCATGAGCTTTCAGTTTGAAATTGTGCGAAAATCTTTCAGTTTAGCAATTCACAAGTTCTTTGGCTAAAACAAAGATAGAATTATTTCCATTTGTTATTATTTCGTACGTGTCAATGTTTCGTTTGAGATTTCTTGGACTTCTGGGTGTTACACGTTTTTAATGAGGTTACAGATTAGGACGTAATGACCCTTAACTAAATTTACCTAAGACAAGCAAATATCCTCCCCACGCTTCGCTTGTGAACATTTCTTACGTTTTCTCTGTTTGTACATGGGTATTCTTTTCAACTCTCAGGCCCGTTTCAAACGTCGTGCTACTGCCGTGCCGAACTAAATTGATCGAATTTTGCCGTGCTACACGGCAGTAGCTCGACTTCGTTTCAAACGTCGCGCTACTGCCCTGCCGAGCTCAATTCATAAATTATAAATACATTGGAATATCTTTTAACGGTTCACTAAACTGCTTTTTATTTTTTATTTGTTTTCCGCAACAGCTATTTTATTCGACTGAGTTAAATTCGACATCCGAAACCAAGTCGTGATACAGTCATGTTAGAGTCGTGCTGAAGTCGAGCCAGCTTAGAAAGGCAGTAGAAAGACCTTTGAAACAGGCCTCGATAGCCTTGGAAATCTTCGCGAATTTACAACTTCAAAACGAGGCGTGGTGGTGAACTTTGCTTCTCTGACGTAATCATGCATAAGAGCTATTATCATCTTATTTATTTATGGTTATCTACATTTTTGGCTTTTTGATTGTTTAGACCAACCAGTTGTACAGAACGCCCACCAGGGAACAGATGAGAAGAACGTGCCACTTTCAGCAGACCCCGGTTCCTTCACAATTTCTGAACAACCGGACGAGAACACGCCAACCACCGTCGATCCCAACTCCCAAACGTCTGAAAACCAGGCGGACAAGAACGAGGAAGCTTCTATTGATCCCAGTTCTTTCACGGACACCTCAGGTACACCTCAAGTGTTCGATTCTCCGCCAACAGCCGCTGACCAGGAAGCATCACCGCCAGCGTCGATATCCAATGAGATGAGTAAGGAGACTGGGGCGACGGTGAATGTTAACGACTATCTGTGAACACGTGACCGGAAGATGAAAATACGGAATACCACTGGAGAACAGCTTTAATTTTACTAACCCACTAACGTATATTATTTAATCTTTTTTTTTTTTGCGGCAGAAGGCGATGGGAGGGGACAAAAGTATACAGGCTATTAAACGTTTAGTGTTATTAAGTCCGACTACTTGTTGATAGTGTTGATATGGTTGGCCTTACATGTTTTAACTGCCGATATTTAACGTAACCTACTAACAATGCTAACTTCATTTAACTTTTGTAAGCTGTTCTCTTGCATAACCATTAAAAGCATGACACAAAAAAATGTTCGTGATTTCCGGTAACGTCTTTCTTTGTATTCACCGGGATCTCGCTAAACTCCATGCAATTCTCAATGTTCTCAGCAGCCTAGTCCCCAGTCCTTCTCCTTACCAACCTGACGAACGCAACAAGGGGGTCAAGTTTCCCGCCCAATGTCATTTAATGACGTCAAGAACATAAGCGCGAGCAAAAAAAGGAGAGAACCTTCCGTAAAATTGATAACAGAACCGCGAGTAACTTCCTCTTCAGCGGTTTTATGGAACGTGCTGAAGTAACACTGTTTCCATTTGTATTGACTCTGTGACCTGGAAGCCGAGAACAGGCTAATATTCGAATCCGCATAAGCCTCGACTGCAAACTAGTTCCAGTCCACTACCAAATACAAAAATAGTCCGTTCTTAAAAAAAAAAGGCTTTTAACCGATAAAATAACATTAGTAGAAAGCCAAGTACTTATTTATTGGCTCATTCATTTATTTATTCAATCATTTCGGACGGGTGTCTTAGCTTAATAAGAAAATCAAATGTTCTTAACACGTAGATAACTAAAAATTTAGTGTCATCTGACTCGAATACTGTATAAAAAATGCTCTAAAGTTGACAGTCGTTTTGGCGTCGTCCGTTATTCTCCTTGAATTTCGAGCTGACTAACAGCGGCTAAAGTTTCATTTATTTCACTGTTTCCGTTCGAGTTTGGGGGGCTGGCATCTTTTAACTCAGCACATGAATTTGTTTCGTCAGTTTTCAAATCGTTGGATTTACCAGTTTGTAGTTCAGACTCTGTACTATTCTTCAGCTCAATGGCGCGTTTCAGGGCATTTTGTAGAACCTGTCTTTCAGCCCTCTTGAGTTGAATGCACAGTTTCTTGTGATGTGAAAGCTCCTCATTCGCCAGTAAATCACGCTCCTCCTAACGATCAAACAAAACAATCAAGCATATTAACAGGCATTACTTTGGAACAAGAAAAAGCAGCTTTTGTTTAGCTTTGTACGACCTCAACGAAGAGGACAGGGTCTTTTCTGTTTAAAATAGAACGATGGATAGTGAAGAGAAACGCACGGGAAAGGAGCTGAAATAGTTCAGAGCTCATATAGTTCGCAGCTCTTTAAAGCTTGTCTTAAACAAGATTATCAGGGACAGTGGGAGAGCCCCAGGAGGGCGGGGGGGGGGGGGAAGTCGGGTCGTCCGGGCCCCCCCCCCCCCCGTCCCCCCCCCCCCCCCCCCCCACCCCTAAAACAAGAAGGGTTTTCAAAAGAATACAAACCCGTTTTGCAATTGGCCTTTTGTCCCCGGGTGGTTCCAGAATTTTTTGCAAAACAGAAAAAATTTTTACCTTTTCCTGCGCTACCCCCCCTTCGGAAAGCTTGCAGTTTCACTGTTTTCAGTTTTGGGATCATTTTTTTGAATTCCTTACCCGGGGGGAAAAGGGGAACCCCCCTCCCCCCCCTTTTCTTCCCCCCCTCCCCCCCCCCCCCCGTCATATCGCGCTTTCACTCTTCCCCTCACACCCTCCTCAATTCGCCACTTTAGAAACAAGAAGGAGACTGGGCTGAGTTGACTCTCGCAAAGGCTTCTGGGACTGTTACTAGGGACTGGGAAAAAAATTGGCCAATAGCTGACCAGCGCGTCCCCAGAAACGATCCCAGAAACAATTGCGGGACGCATTTCGGCTCCAGTTCCCTTCTCGTTTCTAAAGTGGCGAGTAGAAAGCTGTTTTCTTGCCAGAGCTGCGTGTCAAGTATCCCGTGGTCTTTTACAGCATCTAGCAGAAGTAAAATGGATTAACACAATTAACTCACCTGTTCTGTTGTCCTATATTGTCCCAAGAGTAAAGACAATCGAGTCTCCAGAAATTGCCAACACTTGATCTCAGTCTCCTCCTTGCAAACGGACGACCGGAAATCTGACAGCTTGCTCAAGTCACAGCTGGCTTCGTTAGCCTTCTCAAGCCATCCTGTTAACTCATCTGTAAAATTGATGAAACGAAACAAGACAACGTTACACTCGTTTTAGCCTGCTAGCAAGGTCTCCATTTGGGCTTCCAAGTGCGAAAGAGAAGGCAATTCCCTCGCGATTTAGAAGCCAGGCTGGCACAGCTGGTTACTGCGTGTCCTTCAGTTTGCGAAGTCCCGAATTCCCCGGTGACATCACATTCTTGTTTCGACGTCTCTCCTTTCTTTGTAGATTGAACTAGCTTTAAATACCCTATAAATAGAGCATTGATGGAGAGAGGGGGATAAAATGAACGCACTGTTGCTTTACCTTTTTTATTCGCTTTGCTCGCCCCTGTGCCTATGGGCCCAAATAGTGAGTCTGCTCACAGTCTGCACTCTCCTATTTTCATGTGCTGTAAATTCCCGTGTAAACGGACGCAACATTGTTGAATGTTACATGTTGTGTCCGTTTGCACACCCGGTTGCTTGTTGTTGCGTGTTGTTAAGAGTTGTTGCGCAAAGTTTCAAACCGGTCAAACGTTTAGCTAGGTGCAAAAGGGAACAACAACTACCAATATTGTTGGGGGTTGTTGCGTTCGTTTGCACGTAGATTAATAGTGACAACCAAGCTATCATCCATTGCCGCCATTTTTAAGTTTGTAAACAGGTCAGGCACACCTCTTTACGTGGACGGGCTGTTGTGCAGTCATATAAAAAAACCGTTTCCAACTAAACTAAAAACGACCCACCTTCTTTCATACAAAAGACTCTAAGAAATGCGACCAATTCGGGACCAAACGGCTCACAGCCACACAGAACAGTATAGGAATGAAACGAACTGCAAGTAAAGAAATCACTTTGAATACACTTTCGTGTCTTGGTAAATACAATACTGAGCAAAGGTATTAAGAGGGAAGTGCTTCCAGTAAACACCGACGGACGACGAAAAGCGACAGCTGCTTCGCTCAAAGAACTAGGCTACTTTCCCTGCTAAATACAGATTACTTCAAAAGCTCTTATTACAGAGGGATTTAAAAAAAACCGTTGACTTTAAATTTAATTAAAACCCCTCAGAGTGAATTCAGCTGCAAATTTCCTCCTTTTACATGAACAACGGGATCGACTTGGCAATACCGTCTAACGGTGGAATTTCACTTTCGCGTATATTGTTCACGTGCGCATGGAAGCAAATTTTACAACAGCGCCGATGCATGGAAGGTCGCGTGTAAATGTTAAACGAGGTTCAACTTATGCTTTTTTTGCTTTATAGATCTGCGGACGTTGAACTTGTTTTCAATCTCGTCACGTCGTCTTTCTAAATCTGCCTAATGATTTCATAGCGACTTTGAGCTACATGACAACTTACGCAGTCATTCTTAGGGCAGTTAAAAGTGTTTCCTTCAAAGAGTACAATGGATCACTCTTGCTGACTCCAAGCTGTATGGTGACTCTGTCATGACTGTTACTCTCATAGACAAAACCATTATGAACCAACAGGTCTGCATTTGATCGCTCGCCGTAAAATATGTAGACTTGTTCGCCAGCTGAGAAATCCTTCATGGAAAAGCTTTGACAACTGTCTTCAGCCACAACATAACCTGTAGTTATCTAAGGAAAATTGTTCGGTTACTTAAACTAGTTACAAAGTCAAGAAATTTATTAGCCTGAGAAAACAGTCGACATTTTGCAACGCCACAACTGGTTTTCCCGCCAAATGACGTCTGAGAAACGAGCGCAGAAATTCCATACTGATGTGGCGTCACCACCCACGTGCCAACGAGCAAAGATTTTACCTATACGCGCGCGCTGTTCAAGGTTAGTCATGCGTCCGTCATTTACGGTCATGTAACGCACTCATCTCATAAAAGTTACCTTATACACTACCGTATGTTACATCGCTTCGAGATTCACTCTACCTTGGAACTTTTGCGCACGTGTTCGCTCGAAAACAATGCATTCTCTGTTCTGCTTTACGTCATAAAAATTACCTTACACGGCCTTATGTTGCATCGCTTCGAGATTCATTCTGCCTTGGAACTTTTGCGCACGGCTTTCTTAGGCTACCGCCTCGCAGCCTCGCGTCTTCGCGAAGCTGCTCGTTGGCAACAAGACAGTCTTGACATGGCCCCTTTAAATTAACCTACAACTTGACTTTAACTCAAATTTACAAGTATCTGGAGCAAACTGAAATAAGTTCAAACTGACTAAATTTTACTGTCAATCACTATCGCAGCCATGGAATGTGTGAACTGGTAAATTTTGACTTTTGCACTATAATACCTCTTTCATAACAACTTTAACTTCATATTATTGATCTGAATTTAATTTTACCTATTGGTAGCTTGTACAAGAGTAAACTCCCTTTTTTCTTAATTTGTTTCCTCCGAAATTTGTGTCCAAAAACCGAGAAAATTAATTGTGAACATTCGGCACGCTCGGAAGTCTCGGAATTCTCGATAAAATAAAAGAGAAAAATGTACGATTGTAAGAGTAATTTGTCACCGGTAATATTAATTGGTAACCAAATGGTATACGCGTGAAAGTAGGAAATAACGTCACTTGTGTTTTGTCAAATTCTAGAACAGTTAAACCTCTCCAAAACGGCCACCTGGGGGACTGAAATAGGGGCCATCGTAGAGAGGTTTAAACAAGAGCCAATGTCGATTATTTGTCCACGGGGACAAAAAAAGTGACCCTTGTAGAGAGGTGGCAGTTAGTGGAAGTTTATAATTTGACAAAACTCGCATGAAACTATTTCTTGATTTTTCCTGATTTAACTCGTCACCATTTGATTAGACACACAGAAAAAAAGACTGATGTTCACAACTGTGAATACACTGTACACCTACTGTGCCGTTGCTATGGTTGCATATATCCCACATTGGAATCAGTGCCAGTGTTGGTTCTCCTGTGGTGCTGGGAATCTTGTTTTGACGAGTAATAACAGTTGAGACTGCCCATCTGAGATGTACAAAAAGAGAAAGAAGATTCGATAACTTTAACCCCAGTCACTACTACTGAAACTGAGGACACCCCAAGCAAGTAGTTCAAGTTATGCTGCGGTTTTGCAATAAAACCCAGCATCA